GGTGAGTATTATTATTACAAAGCAGTGCATTTCAGCTGTTAATGGAAAAAAAAGGTCTCAGGGTGGAGTTACTTTTGGAAATTCAATACACCGTTTACCAAATAAGTCACAGTATTAGAGTTTTTGTTTAAGCTGAAGTTTAAACATATGTTTGATAATTTAGCATTATTCATGTAAAAGAAGTTGCATTTGTTGAGCTAATGAACCTGGGCTTGCTTGCAGAGCCTTGGCTCAGCAGCACCACCTCATCATATACCCTCTGACCGAGCAAAGCAGAGCATCATGCAAAAAAAAGGCAAAAAGCTCGGTGTCTACCGAGCTTTTTGCCTTTTTTTTGCATGATGCTCTGCTTTGCTCGGCCAGAGGGTAAATGAGGTGGTGCTGCTGAGCCAAGGACAGCACACAGGTCAGGAGAACAGAGGACCTCCTCCTGTTCATAGGACTTCAGTGCAATGCAGAGGCTCCTCCACTCTTAGCAAGCAATAAAAGACTCCGCTGGCTTAGATTTTTGATTCCACATTGCTGTAGCCCAGACTCCAGCTCTGATAGAGGCTGTTTAAAATCCTCCTCTCAGGCTCATTTAACAGTCCTGTCCTCACGCGGCCTCTGATGTCACATCTCATCTAAGGTCACAGCGGCTTCAGCTGAACCTCATTGCTCTTCGTAATGTGACCCAATTAAACCTTCTTAGATATTTTCCGTAAGCACTAGAATTTATTTGACAGGTCGGTCCAATTAAGAGTCCATTTCAGAGGGAAACTCCAACGTTCTCAACTTACTCTCTGTATGCCAAGTCTGTATTGTCAGTTACCACAGACAGTAATTGTGACACATTACAGTGTATTTAGAAAAGAACAGAGAACCCGTCTGCTATACACCAATCAGGCATAACATTATGACCACCTCCTTGTTTCTACGCTCATTGTCCATTTTATTAGCTGCACTTACTATATAGGTGCACTTTGTAGTTCTACAGTTACAGGACCCCCATGGACCCTCACAGAGCAGGTACTATTTGGGTGGTGGATCATTCTCAGCACTGCAGTAACACTGACGTGGTGGTGGTGTGTTAGTGTGTGTTGCGCTGGTCTGAGTATTGTATAGTCTCTCATACTTCATCTAACTAGCACCACTTTGAATCATCACATCCACTCTAATTGACCCCCAGCGCAGAGGACACGTACACTCATGACTAGGGCTTGCCATACTGACCCCCAGGCCTTTGGCATGGCTTCGGCAGGATCAGCTTAGGCTCAGTTTCATCCCTCCCACACCGTTTAGCGTGTAAGCAGAGCCTCTGTAGGAAAGAGGTTGTAAAGCCGTGTGTTAGAAGATCATTTAACTCCATACCATCACTACGGGGGGCAAACCTGAGCCTTCAGGTGCTAAATGACCGCTGAAAGTCGACGATTCTGGATCACGCCGGCTGTTTTTTGCCTCGTAAGGGCAAAAAAGAGAACAGAAAATCTGATCTTAATAAGAGTGTAAATGTTTTCAGTACAGTGTGGAAGAAAATGAACATTGGAAACAGCGTATGGAAATTTACAACTATATGCCCGATACACCCCTCACTCTCTTCTGGCAGAGAGGGGTGTGGCTTATGCTGTGGGCTACGGACATAGCCTTGGTCAAATGACTGGGCTTTTTTTATTTTTTTATTTATTTTTTTTTTGGAAGTGCTTGTAAACTCTTGTTGTAAGAGGGGCAACATTGAAAAGGGTTTAGTTGAAAACTTTTGCTTGTCTGAGCCAAACTGATGTGTGTAAGATATCATTTTTAAACATTTTTAAACACACAATATATCGGAAATCAAAATGTACCTTGACCTCAGAATTAAAACCTGAGAATATGCCTAGATTTTACTGTAGCACTTCTGATGCACTTTGTTAATACGAAACATAATGAGATATAAACATTTACAAAACAGTAAAATACAGATTTAATTTTTTTTTATTTTGCAGAGCAGTAAATGGTGCTTTTGTATTCTGCTGTTTGTTTAAAGAGGGATTTAAAGAGAGGTTAGTTAGATTTCTGGTCTGCACTTGCATTACGCATTACATCCAGCCAGAGACACATTATTATAACAGAACTTTATCACTTCTCGTATGGTCATCGTGATATCCGACAGCATTTTATGTCAATATTGTGCAGCCCTAGTGTTAGTTGTTGAGAGCTCCTCTGGCCTGGGGGAAGAAGCTGTTTCTGAGGCTGGTATTGGGAGTTGTAATGCTTTTGAAGCAGTTGCCAGAGGGAGGAAGGAAGAAGGCCATGAGTTTGGTGCGAGGCATGTGAGGTGATGGACTGAGTCCTCGCCCAGCATTGGGATGCGTAAATATCCTGAAGTTGTGGGAGGTCAGTGACGGTGATCTTGGAAGCAGTTCTCACAGTTCTTTGTAGGAGTCAGAGTTCCTGCGCAGTCAGGTTGCCAAGCCACACCTTGACGTGTTCATCCCGAAGCTTTTAAGGGTACGTTCACATTGCCTTACTGTGACGCAGATCTGAAGTCAGAGCTGTGTGGACACACAAATCTGATCTTTTCAAATCCAACCTGAGCCACTTTATGTGGTTCTAGATCAGATACATATCCAATTTGTGGCCGTGTGACCTTAATGAGAACGCTCAGATCGGAATTAGATTTTTTTTTCCACTGTGCAGGCACAGTCACTGGCTGTGTTCCAAAGCCTAGGCTGCATTTCTCGGCAGGTATGTCAAAGAAGGCTGTTCCAAAGTGAAGGACCCTTCGGTTACCCACAGTTCTCTGCTTATGAACGATGCGAAGGAAAAAAAAAACAGAAAATGACTGAAAACAAAGCTTTTGGAGCAGAGCTTGTTTTAAAATGTAAATTATTCACATCCTTCAATTTTCGTTACCTGACAAAGTGTAAAATCACTGATTAATTAAAGAATTCGTCCATATATCGTATTTTCTTTAGAAGCACTTGTGTATATGTGTAGTTTTAGTATATTATTTTTAAATTTTTACCCGATTTTCTCCCCAATTTAGTCGTCTCCAATTCCACCCGCTAGTTAGGACTCCCCCAATCACACGATGCTATCAACGCTAGGAGGGTGAAGGCTAACACAGGCTTCCTCCGAGACCTGTGAAACCAACCACCGCTTCTTTTCGAACTGCCGCTCACGCAACGTCATTGGACAGCCAAACGCGCTCGGAGGAAAGCGCCAACCGCCAGATCTGTTACGTCAGCTAACAGACGCCTGCACTGACTAGCCTCGCGCTGAGTGATGGGGGGGGAAAGGAGGGGTCATCCTACCCACCCAGAGAGAGCGAGGCCAATTGTGCTCTCTCGGACTCCCGGCTATGGATTGCTGTAGCATCACCAGGGATCGAACTCACGATCTCCTGATGATAGGGCCAACGCTTAGACGGTTGTGCCACTCGGGAGCCCCATATATATGTAGTGTATCGTACTACATTAGAACATCTCCTCCTTTTCTATGAGAAAACGAAAAAGCAATAAACACAGTGCTGCAGGCTCCATTTTCTCTCACCAGTTCCCTCACAAGTTTCGCGCTATAATTGCAGTAGTCGGGGCCTTTTTGGTGACGTCACCACCCAGCCTCGTTAGGATTGTTCCATTTGTGTGACCAATAGGCTACTAAGGAGGAGTCTTCATAGGACAGTCCTACCGAGGACCTGCACTACCTCGGCTGCAGCCTAGACCTTGGAACGCGGCTAACGTGTTAATGTGGCAGCAGCGCCTATCCTGAAGTTAGTGCTAGCAAATACTGCTAAAGTAATTCATCCGATCGTTTTTCACCTTCATCTCGCTCTAATGAGCGGCTGAGAGCAGTTCAGAGCAAATTATCTGAAGACTTGGTCTGCTGGTTGGTTTGTTCATGATGCACATAGTTCACTCAGGTGACACTGTTGTTCAGTATGTGCGCCTGTGGGACGTGTCTGTTCGTACAGGTTCGTACGGTCCAGGGTTTTTTTGTTTTGTTTTTTTTGAAGCAGTTGGGGACGGTACATAAAGACAGATTTATTGAAAAATCACAAATCACTATTTAATATTTTAGTAATAAAGTGTTATACCTATCATTTACACAATTAATAAAGCTCTTTTTTTAATTGAAGCCCAAACAATAAAAAGAGGCTTTACTAACAAGAGCAGCAGCCCTTCAAATATTCCGAAACACTTTACGGGAAAAAAATATAAAGGGATTTTTTGAAAATAAATGAAACATTGTGACAAAACTGCATAAGAAAATGCATAGAAATGTGGGTATCTGTCAAGTGTCTCACTGTGAGAGAGACCAGTGGGTGTTATCTGGTATTTGCATGCTTTTAAGCCCCATTTAATGCCAAAATTTTAGAAATTTAAAACCAATTTAAAAAATGTAAGAGTTACTTCATCATCTTGTCAGCACTGTCACCACATATATCATCTAGCACTTCTATGGGAAATGTTAGCACCAGGCTAGCAGTGGTGTACATTCACTTTCCCACTCTTTAGTTTTAGTACTACTTAAGCCAACTCGATTATTATTGTTATTATTCGAGCCTTTGAACTGTAAAGACCATCAGCTGGTACATTCTTTACGTTATATGTTGCAGGGAATCGTTCAGTAAAGCCTAACTTAATATTATAGGAGGAGCCTGTTAGCCTGGGAGCTGTCACACAAAAGCAAATAATAGCACCCCCTTGTGGAGAATGTTCAGACTGATAAACATGACCTAATAATGACCTGCAGATACCTTGTTTGATGATTCATCAAGAACATATATTGTAATCGATTAAACTATTGATGCAGTAGTCATGACAACCCCAGTTTATTTTTAGTTTTTTTTTCTTTAGGCAGTCCGAAGAAAGTAAACAAGCCAATTAGCTTTCTGTAATAAATGGAAGTGGTCGGTCAAAGCGGGCTCTTTACCCACATTTCTGGAGAACAGTATTATTATTATTTATTTATAAATGTTTTGTTGGTGTTATTTTATATACTATTCTTAACTGACTGTTTTCTGTTTCTGTTTCTCTCAGCTTACTCCCAACACATGGAGAACCATATCAGCCCCCCAAACTTCCTGAGCCAGACGGTGCCCCCCGCCTCCTCTGGACGTTACTCCCCCACCCCGAAGACCACACATGGGGAGGATGACATGACGAGGTAGCGTTTACTCTTCTGATTAGTGCTAGAAGTTTACTGTGTCCTGTAGAGGTGCAGAAATACATAGCTGCACCCTCTTGCTTCGGTCTGACTATGCAGGGTGATTCAGAAAGATTCATCCGATTTCAAAGCGCCGTATTTTTACAACCGTGAGGCGCCTAGGAACCAATCACATTCCAATTGAAAGAGGGGGTCATAGAGTTTCTCACTCATGGCTCCCTTCAGTCTGCGAGGAGATGGAGACCCCTGAGTAGAAAGCATTCTGTGTTCTCCACTTCAGTAAGAGTGAATCAGTCATAACTGTGCAACCTGATTTTTTGTTGTCAGTGAAGCTCCAACAGTTCAGAGTGTTCGTTGTTGGTTCCACAACACTGGATGATCTCTGAAATCGAGTCGTGAGTGCAGCGACACCCGACATGCTCAATCGAGTATGGGATGAATCTGACTATGGTGTTGTTGTCTGTACAGCTGGAGGAGGTTCATATTGAGAACTTGTAAAATTACATAATAAACTTTATGCTCATTTAAACCATTTACAGTTTACTGCATTGTTCTGTAATGATTTACCAGTGAAATAAATCATTTTGAAATCAGATGCATCTTTTTCGATCACCCTGTATATTGACATATAAAATGTTAGTGTTCATTTAACTCGTTCCAAACCTCTCCTTGTGGAACTCCAGTGTTATTTGTAGTTACAATCCAATACCTGGTTTGGCTAATCAATACTTCATTATGTTAGATCCAATGTGCTGCTGATGGAGTATAATAAATCCATGTGATTGCCTGAGGCCTTCATGAGAAATCTAGAACCAAACTGTGTTCTTCAGACTACCTCACAAGATATCTGTTACTTTTTGAAAACAGGAAATTCTTGTTACTGTTTACCGTATTTATTTATTTTTTATCTTTATTCTAATAACAATGTGATTTTACAAGCTAAAACCCAACGTACTGCCCAGATAAACGACAGTGTGTTTAGGTGTCTGTGTGCACAGATCTGTGTATCTCAGTTTTTGTTAGTGTTCGTCATGCTGGTGTATTCAGTCCTGATTGTCGTGCTGCCGAACTGTCACTAGATACAGTGGTCAGTTCAGGATGTAGTAGGTTTTTGATCTACATCACTCAGTTGGTCAGTCTAATCTGATAAGTGCTGTATCAGATTCTCTGCGTTTCTTTATTGATGACCCAGACAGGTCAGTGTCAGGTTGCCAGGTTGAGCTTTTGGGCTTCACCCAGAGAACTGCTGAACATGAGGGCAGCTGGCAGGAGTCCAGTGAACGTTATCCTGTCACTCTCCTGTACCTTCGCTTACTCTCTTTCTTTTTTTTTGTTTTCTTTCTTTCTTTCTTTCTTTCTTTCTTTCTTTCTCTCCCTCTCCATCTCTCTCACCCCCATCTTTTTCTTTCTTTCTTTCTATCTCTCTCCCCTTATATCTGTCTCTCTCTCTTTCTCCCCATATCTCTCTCCCCATTTTTCTTTTTCTTTCTTTTTTCTTTCTTTCTTTCTTTCTCTCCCTCTCCATCTCTCTCTCTCTCCTCCATCTTTTTCTTTCTTTCTCTCCCTCTCCATCTCTCTCTCCTGCATCTTTTTCTTTCTTTCTTTTTCTTTCTTTCTTTCTTTCTTTCTATCTCTCTCCCCTTATATCTATCTCTCTCTCTCTTTCTTCCCATATCTGTCTCTCTGTACCCCATTTTTCTTTCTTTTTCTTTCTTTCTTTCTTTCTTTCTTTCTTTCTTTCTATCTCTCTCCCCTTACATCTGTCTCTCTCTTTCTTCCCCGTGTCCTCTCTCTCTCTCTCTCCCCATTTTTCTTTTTCTTTCTTTCTTTCTTTTTCTTTCTTTCTTTTTCTTTCTTTCTCTCTTTCTCTCCACTTATATCTGTCTGTTTCTTTCTTCCCCCTGTGTCCTCTCTCTCTCTCTCTCTCCCCATATTTCTTTCTTTCTTTCTTTTTCTCTCTCTCTCTCTCTCTCTCTCTCTCTCTCCACTCTCTCTCTGTAATTCCACTTAAAGAGGGCAGAATCACACATGGTCAAGCTCTCCAAACAGTCATTTGTAGAACCATGGTCCAGTCTGGGACCTCACAAGAGCACAACCTTCCAAAATACCATTTAACCTTGTCTATCAGTGATATTTTGAACAGTGAGCTGTGATTGAAGAGTGTTTGACCTCTAACGTAGCGCATTTTACTCTAGAGCAGCCTTTGCAGAAGTGCTGGGAGGATGTCTTGTCATTCAGCTCGGTGCTTTTAGCAGTAGTGTCGTCTCAGAGCAGCAGCGTCCTCTAGAGGCCGGTCCTGTGAACTGCACCTGTCAGCACACTAGGTCTTTCTCGTTTACAACACTAACCTCCTCTTATGTATAGTTTCATTGTTTGTCACTCGTAACTCACTGGAACAAGCGGAGAAATTCTGTACAGAGTTCAGATTGGAGTCTTTCGGTCTACACCGTGTTTGTGTTTCTAAGTAGAAGAAGAGATATATTATTATGATTTGAATTTGATGACGTTATTATTGCGTGTACAGTCATATTTGGCAGAAAAAACAGCCTTTAAATTTTCGCCTTTTTTTCATTTTTGACATCAAAACAAAGTGCAGATTGTCCTTCCAATAAAGAATATAAATAATATGTACATTTAATTATGTAAGTAGTTATGTAATTAATTATGCAGTTACATATTAATAAGTGTGTAATGGGTATCAGATGTATAGCGAAATGACAGCGATGCCTCTGGACGTGTAAGGCTTAACAGTGTGCGGACAGATCCAGGATGCTTTTAGCCTTGGCCGTAACGGACTGAACAGAAGAAAACACTTAATGGCCGGCTGCATGAGGCGCTCTGTGGTCAGCAGTGCTGCGTTTACAGATCTCGTCACAGTGTTTTATAGTTCAGTTCTGTAGTAGTAATGACACTCACAGAATGACTTGTTTAATCTGTATGATTGCGATGAGCTTCATGAGTCACTTTAGCAGTAATATGATTTTCGTGACTAGAGCTGAATGCCAAGCAGGGCCACTTCTTTTGCTGTATTGAGTCACCAAATCACTGTGAGTGAATTATTTGAGTTATTATGTCTGGTGTATATGTGTGTGTGTCAATCACCTTTATTCCAGCTTCCATTCCTTTCAGGAGACTCACTTTCAGTTCCTCAAAGAATCTGCAGACACACCTCCAAAGTTCAGTCTTAGAAGCTGGTTGATCATTTTCTGAAGTAATCAGACACATTCAGTGATGTTGAGGTCTGGACTCTGGGGTGGTCAGTCCATTAGCCATTTTAGATGCACATGAGAAAGAAACGTGTGAGGCAGCTAAGTAAGCTAAGCTGAGTTTAAGGTGTCTGCTTGTGTGACTGTTAGTGTCTCTTTGAAGGGGGACGTAATGTCAGTGACTCCTTTGAGAACAGCTTTTCACTGGGAGGACACAGCAGTAACTTTTAAGAGTGGCTTTAAAGGGTCGATGTCATAGAAAAACAAATTTTCCTTTTGATGTAGTATGTAAGTACTGTAAAAGCACGGGCTGCTTTTTGGATGAGCCACATCATGAGCCACATCACAGCAGCCTATCAGAACAGAGGTCATTTACATATATCAGTGAGGTAACAAAAAACAGCCTGTATAATGCAAAGAAATAAAAGAGGGAAATGGACATGTAAAAATTGATTACTAATGTTTTTGGTACACAAACTTGCCCAGTTGTCAAAATTGGACCTTGTGTGTGTGTGTGTGTGTGTGTGTGTGTGTATATATGCATACACATACACGCACATATATTAACCCGTATTCTGACAAGGTATAAAAACAAACCTCTGTCTCTGTGTGTTTGTCTTCATTGCAGAGAGCCCAGGAAGGTGGTCCTGCACCGGGGCGCTACAGGTCTGGGCTTTAACATCGTTGGCGGAGAGGACGGAGAGGGCATCTTTATCTCCTTCATCCTGGCAGGAGGCCCTGCGGACCTGAGCGGAGAACTGAGGAAAGGAGACCGCCTCGTCTCTGTGAGTGACCATCAGTAGCCCAAAACATTTAACTACGTATTGTACCACAGCATATCCATCTGTTTTTCCCCATATAGATTCATTCAGTTATTCAGTTGCGGTCACTGGCTCTGTCTTAGGTGTAACACATACACTAGCATTCAGAAGTTTGGAATCACAATAAAATTTAAAAATGCTGGTAAAATGATTTTATGATGCTACACAGATTTCAACCCAGTAGTAGGACTGTAAATGTAGAGATGTTAGATGTGTGTGACGGACAGAGCTGTAGATGATCCTACAATGACTGAGAAAGCATCAAGAATGAAGGTACAATAAAATTACATCCAGAATTCTTCATATTTTGAACTCATCAATAAATCACTATAAACAGTAGTAACTACATATTACAATTACATAACTTCTTGATCTTTGGTAATAACGAAATAAGGCCACTCTTCTAATCTATAAGTGAATTTAGAACAAAAGCCCAGACATTGGGTGTATGTATAGTGTAAGCCCCACCCCTTCTCTACATAAATATTTCGTACATAAATATTTTGATGCTGTGTAGAAATTGTGACACTTTAACGTCCTTTATCCCCTCGTCCTTTATTCTGCAAAGACTAGTACTGCCTTCATGTGCCTTTAGAGTTATTATAACCACATAAATACACGTTCCTGACCTAAAAGTTGTGTATGAATGTCCCCTCAAGTCATACTTACAAGTTGTAACTTCCAAAACAGTTTTGATTTCTGAGTTTCTGGCTTGTTAGTGACCATTACCCTTTCAACTGGACAGAAAGGCTGCGTTCACATTACAAGCCTCATTGCTCAAATCCAATTTTTTGCTCAAATCCGATCTCTCTGACAGGATGGTTCACACTTGTTTAGGTAAGAGATTCAAATCTGTCGTTTATGTGAGCGAGCCGGCGTCCTGAAATGACCCGCATGCCCATCCGCACGCACATCCTACTCAGAAACGTCACGTGAATCATAAGCAAACAAACTAACGAGCAGAACGAGCTTCACTGTGAAGATAATTAACTCTGATCAGCTCTCAGCTTCATTATTAGAGCGAGACGAAGGTGAAAACGGTGAGATGTGCTGCTTTTCCGCTGTTTACCTGGCTTTAACTAAAAAAGCACATGAATTCCGATCTGAGTGTTCACATTGAGGTCATATGGCCACGAATCTGACACGTATCAGATCTAGGACCACATAGGCTATATTCACATTACATGAAGTGGCACAAATCTGATTTTTTGTGACTCAGATCTGATGTTTTCAGGGCTGTGTGGACACGCAAATCTGATCTTTTATCAGACCTGAGCCACTATGTGGTCCTAGATCGGATACGTATCCGATTCGTGGTCATGCGACCTTAATGAGAATGTGCTTTTTTTCCACTGCGTCTGCGCCATCATTCAGCGTTACCATGGCAGCAGCTCCAAACAGAAGTTAAAGCCTGTAAACGCTGGAAAAGCAGCTCATCTCACCTTTTTCTCCCTTCGTCTCGCTCTAATAATGAAGCTGAGAGCTGATCAGAGTTAATGATCTTCTCAGCGAAGCTCGTTCTGCTCGTTAGTTTGTGCTGATGATGCTCGTGATTCATTCATGTGACGTTTCTGAGTAGGATGTGCTCATGAGGGTCATTTTAGGACGGCAGTTCGTTCACATTAATGACAGATTTGAATCTCTTACCTAAACGAGTGAGAACCATCATGTCAGAGAGATCAGATTTGAGCAAAAAATTGGATTCGAGCAATGAGGCTTGTAATGTGAATGTAGCAATAGTGGCTCAGGTCAGATTTGAAAAGATCAGATTTGTGTGTCCACACAGCTCTGAAAACATCAAATCTGAGTCACATCAGGGGAAAAAAATCTGATTTGTGCCACTTCAACCTGGTAATGTGAACTTAGCCAAAAAAGCGTGGTATTCCTTTATTTTTCAAAGTGCAACTTACTTTTTGTAGTGACAGATTAGGCCCCAGACATTAACTTACATCTTTAACAGGTAGTTGCATCACTTGTATTTTTACAGTGGGGAAATGTTAGGAAGATAACAAAATACGTGAACAGAGCTGTTGTTATAGAGTGTTTACCAAACAGGCTCGGCAAGCAAACACTTCCAATTCCAGCTACAATGCACTCGAGCACAGAGACTAATTACAGCTTCACAAGTGGGAAAAGGATCATCCAACAAGCCTGTGAAAGCAGCACAGGAACACACCCACCCCACACTCTCCCCTCAAATATAACTGTCTGAAACACTCGCACTCTGCTTCTGTACAAACAGCCCTCATGTCACATCACTGCACTGGAAGCCTCCTGTTTTGGGGAAGGCAGAATATGTTACAAATGTGGATCAGTCATTTTTTAATGCTAAATCAAATAAATGACAAGACTAGACTTGAAGGGGCTTTCCACCCATTTTTAAATTTCAGCATAATTTATTTCTTGTGAAATAGTCATTCGGGTTGTTTTGAAGAAAGCTGCACCACTCTAGAGATGTCAAAATTGTGCAGAACGGCAGTCATAGGAACCCAGGTCCAAGCGTTTAAAGCCTCTAAAAGCTAATTCATAGAAAATTATTAGATAAAATTATTACAAGTACGTTGCCTGATGGCTTAGAGGCTGTTTAACGATTGTTTTATGATAAGGATTTTAGCCTTAGTGTCTTACTTCTGTGAAAATACATTCAGGACGAGGGAAAATAGCACCTAAAGAAAGTGGATTTTTATGGATTCATTACCGCGTTATCAGCCTTATACATCGAAACTTACATGTAGCCTTACTGGTTGTATAGATACTAGATTAAACCATCTATTTATGCATAGTGGACTTTTCGTGGTTCCTGAAAGTGACATTGTAAAGACATATAAGTTGCTAAATTTCTCTACAATAGTGCATTTTCCTTCAAAACATCCTGCATGACTTTGGTTACATTTCATAGTGCTAAAATTTCCAGGAATTGGTGGAATTCTCCTTTAGCTGCCTCAAGCTGATCCGTCCTGAAACTGTATTTTATCCCCCTTGTATACTTGAATATGAGAACAGTAACAAAGATGAGCCGAGTCTGTGATCCTCCTGATTTGCAGCAGGTCCAGATTTCCCCTGGTTATTCCTCAGAGCTGAGTGCTCTCTCTCTTTCTTTGCCCCCCAGGTGAACGGAGTGGACCTGCGCAGCGCCACTCACGAGCAGGCAGCGGCCACTTTGAAGAACGCCGGCCAGACTGTCACCATCGTCGCCCATTACAGACCAGAGGGTGAGTCTAATGCTGTAGGCCAGTAATCCAAAAAGCCGGTTTTAGGGAACCAGCCTTGTGACTAGAAGGTCGCCGGTTCGATCCCCTGAGCTGACAGGACAGACTGAAGTGCCCTTGAGCAAGGCACCCAACCCCTAACTGCTCCCTGGGTGCTGTGGATAAGGCTGCCCACCGCTCTGGGCAAGTGTGCTCACTGCCCCCTAGTGTGTGTGTATACTAGTGTGTATGTGGGTGTTTCTCTGCACAGATGGGTTAAATGCTGGGTGAATTTCTCTATTTTGGGATAATAGAGGGTAACGTAACTTATTTGTTTAGCTCCATTACATAATGTAATATAGATGGCAGCAGTAGATTTTTCTGGGTGGTTGGTTTTGGTGGGTTTTCTACACCCATTCTGCTCTGCTCAGAAAATGGACACCCATGTTTCCTTTTTTAAAGTGTAGACGCACTCATGCCCCACCACAAGCTTGTAAATGACTGAGTATGTTGTGTTTTATGGAAAACGCCTTCTTTGCTGGGTGTTCCGTCGTGTTTGAAAGCAGACTGGGAAAATAAAGAATTATGGTTTAACATTTGGGGCTTTCTGCTGGGAAGTTGTGTAAAATATGATGAATTAAGTAAAAGCTTTGTAGATAATTGTACACAGTCCCCACAGTCTGACACTGTTTTTGGGCTCTGCACAACTATGTGTGCAAGTGCTGCGTTATTTGTTTGAAAGGAAGTTAAATGTAGAGATGCGCAATGTGATATATCATTTGTCTAATCTGAATTTTTTTTTTCCAAAGAGAGGGGGAGAGAGAGAGAGAGAGAGAAAAGAAAGTATGAGAGTTAGACAGAGAGAGTGAGACGAAGCGAGAGAAGACAGAAAAAAGAAGGAATAGGAATAGGGCTGCGGAATGCATTGTTTGTTACCTATTGTTGCGTTATTGGCCAGTCACACTGCTGTGAGCATCCTGACCAATCACAGTTCTACATGAGCTTCTGTGGGTATTTTGATGAATCGTTGTGTTCATGCGATGCAAGAAAAGTTATTTTGGTCAGTCTTTAACCAGGTCACATTATTGATTAGCCAGTGTGTTTCTAACGTCACTGCTGTCGGAAGAAAACCTCGTATCTCCGTTTTTGTCGTTTTTCAGTTTTTGACATAATTTGAAAATGCCTGTTGCTCTTTACATTGTGTGTTAATTTCATGAAAGATAAAAAGAAGCAGCCCAAAATGACTTGGGGGGGAAGATAGTCTGGTTCCACTGACTTACATTAAAAGTGAAGTAGGTTTTTTCCGTCTCCTGTAAAGTTAGCAGTTTGGAGATGAGAGGTTTTCTTCAGATTCTTGGTCTTTGCTCATTTTCTGTGAAGAACATATAAAATAACCCATTTTCAGTGTCTTCACTCTGTTCACCCCCCACACATTTATATTACACATGTGGTGTTGGGCTGAACCCGCAGGGAGTAAAAGTGTGGAGGTGCTGTGTTCTTCACTCTGTTCTCCCCCTACATGGCCTGCTGTTAGTGTGTGTGTGTGTGTGTATGTGTTTGTATGTGTGTGTGTGTGAGGGTGGACAACATGGACAGGCTGCTGACCGGCTACAGCTGCTAAAAGAAGAACCCTACGCTGGACACTTGTGATATTTTAAACATCTGGTACCTTTACATAAATTGTTATGTCTGTATTGATTTAAATAAACAATAATGTGGTGGGTCACCAGACCACTGAGTAACAAACACATCGACACCACACAGGGGTTAAACACTAAACACAAGCTGTCCTTAAAAGTTTCTTTATGTAATGTGCTAGCCACATGCTAGTATGTTAGCCCCGAGCTAACACACTAGCTGTGATGCAGTAAGATACAGTACAATACGCTGTGTTACACCTCTGCGAGGTAGATGAGAGATCTGATCTAGTGAGTGTGACGGTAATCTGCGCTCCAGCTGCTGTGTGTGTGTGTGTGTGTGTGTGTGTGTGTGTGTTTACCGTTCAACACTTTTTCATGCTGGCTTTCATGTTCATATTTATTCAAGGACAGATTCACTGTGGCCTGAAGTACATCGCCTTGAATAGTGAGAGAGAGAGATAGAGAGAGAGATAGAGGGAGGGATGGGAGGGGTTGGTGGAGTCCTATAGTGTCTGCCTCTCTGCTGGAGAGTGAGAGAGAGGCGGTAGGCGAGGTGTATGTGTGCTGGCTGTATGACGGTGTCCAGTCAGTGGACAGTTCACAGAGAAATTCTCCAGGAGCTGAATACTGTAAGTACTGCTCTCAGTTCAACTCTGGAAAGCATGTATGGGGAACAAAGAGGAGAAGTCTGAGCTAATTGCAGGGTTTGACATCTCCAAACGTCTGAAACCAGCTTCCTCTGGGTTTTCTTGTAGATGTTTCTCATGTGAATGACTAGCAGTAAGTTGTTTCCAAAGATCATTGTGGCTCCAGTGCTGTTATAATGATTAAAAAAAAGCTTTTTGGGGACTTTTGCTGTTTCCCAGCTGTATTTAAAGGAGTATTTCACCATACAAGTTAATGTTTTGTTCTCTTTGGTGGTTCATGCTGGAGCCGATAGTCTTTTCTGCAGTCTTACGCAAAAGTTTGGGCACCCCTACACTCAAAAATGTGATGTGTTAAGTAACAACACACATACTTGTGTTACCTGTTTTTGTGTTATACTGTTTGTCTGATTTAACACATTCTGTGTTAAAAGCATTACAAAATGTTTTATCCATAACTGAGCACAGAAAGATTTCAGCGCATTTTGTGCTTAAGGTAACACAAAATGTGTCGTCTCCAACTGAACACACTGTGGTGTCAAGTTAGAGACAGAATGTGTTTTTTTTTTTAACAATGTGTGTCTGTTTTAGACATGTTTGACATGTTTTGCTGATTTTCCAAGTGAGAATAAGTTAATATGTAATGCACAATTACTCTTTATTTGCTAAATTTTAAAAAAATTTGAAAAAAAAAAAAGTTCAGTTGTTTTATTTTTTTATTATTTTCCAGGGTATATTTTGGTTTTTCCATCTGAATTTATGTGACCAAATCGTAACGCAAGTTATTCAGTAACTGCATGAAATAAATGTAAATTTTTATTTTATTTATTTTTTGTAAAAGCTCCCCTCAAATTAACAGAACATGTGTTTTATGATCATACATATTGCTATATGCTTACAATTTACTGCTGAAACCAAAAATCTTAGACGCTCTTTGTATTATTTTATCAAAATAATTTTTACAGAGCAGATCACTGAAGAGACGCCATCTGTTTATAGTTTATAGCCCAGATTTGTGGAAAAATGGGTCGACTTTCAGTAGACAAAAAAATTGTGAGTTCAGCTTCTTTTATTATAAGGGTTTAAAATTACATCACCCATCTATTTGACTGGAAAGAAGACAGTTACCGCTCTCATATGACCCCCACCTTTTGAATGTAGCTTATGAAATATGAAAGTTATGAAGAACATGACGAAGTGCATTTTGGATCCACCGGTGGTCTCAAGGAGTTAAAAAGGTTAAACTCAGCAAATAAAGAAACTGTACACTGTCATGGGCAGACAAATGCCATATTTTATGTTAACATACTGTCACTTAGAAAATCAACAAAGCATGGAATTTGTCCAAGGGTGCCTAAACGTTTGCATACAACTGTGTTAGCATGCAGTGAGTGGATCAGTGAGTATCTGAAGTATCTCAGCGTTGTGCTTTATCAGTGTATTTTATGTCTTATTAGTAGGGCTGTCGCTGTGGATTTGTATCTGTGATCGAACAGTCGAGCTTTTAAAAGCCAAACCTTAAAAATGGACTTAATGTGAACAAAAACAAACCAAGCAGAGCTTATCAAACATCCCAAAATACAGATTTAAGAGTCATTAAAAAATAGATATAATTGAAAAAAGGAACCTAGGAACACTGTATGGCAAAACATGCTTGAGTGAAAGAATGAATGAATGAAAAAATAAATACAGCATCTTTATTATAATAAGAGCACTTTTCATACATGTTGCAGCTCAAAGTGCTTTACAGTGAAATAGTAAGTTAAAAAAAATCACAAACACAAAAAAACAAATAGTAATAAAATGAAATACAGTAAATGTATGGGTGAAAAGGGTGTGTCCATCCGACTGAGGGAACAGTAGGAGAGTTTAAAATATGCATTATAATCAAGCAAACTGTCAACTAGTCACTGCTGATTCATTAAGAAGCTTAATTTTAATAATAATTTTTTTAATCAAGTAATCTGCCCAGACCTGCATTGAAGATTCCTTCATTGTTGTGACAAGGCTTTTGATGTCATGTAGTAGTAGTAGTAGTAGTCGTAATAATAATAATAATAATAATAATAACAATAGTGGTGGTGATAATACTAATACTACTACTACTAATAATAATATGTTTAACTATAGCCCTTTACTATAAACAGACCTGGATCCAGGCCTCTTTCCTACAATTCATATTAACTCTTCATATTAATAAATTTGGCATTGTTTTCCATGTAGTTATTGAATAATAAACCATAAGAAATGGACATGCAGCTTAAGGGTCCGTATCAAGGAAAACTGTATTTTCTTATAAAACTGTATTATCTTATAATTAAAAGATATTGAGGTAGTATGTAAATATCAGTAGTTTACATATAACATGTTAGCTATGAAACAGCTTGTTTTAAAATCAATGTTTTTGTGATGTCACAAAATATTTACAAATATTCAGCCGACTGCAGTTTAGCCCTGCCCATACACACGGAAGTTATTTCAGCCCAGACTACTTTTAGACCAAGACACAATACATGACAGCCAATCAGAGCAGAGCTCATTTACATTCATCAGTCGTAAAGGCACAGGAACAAAAACAGTCGGTTTAATTCTGAGGGATGAAGGTAGGTTGAAAAATGGTCATATGAAAATGAAATATGACTGTTTTTGGTACATGAACGCGCACAGACTTTATAGAAAAGTAAAGAAGGGGGGCCCTTTAAGCTTGAGGGGCTCACTGATGTGAGCACCTCTCTCGTAGGTTAGTTTATTTTACAAGGTTACTTTACACAAACAACACACTCCATAACAACAATACTGAAACAGTAGACCGCTTCTGTGTGTGTGTGTGTGTGTGTGTGTGTGTGTGTGTGTGTGTGTGTGTGTGTGAGAGCGTGTGCTCTGTTGGAGGATCGTGTTGCTGAGGCTTTAGTGTCTGCTCTGTTTCCACTGCAGAGAGGAACTGGATACACCAGCAGGAGGCCTCGCAGTAGACAGGATGAAAGATGATAACGGGTTCTCCTTTTTCTGCCCCCTTAGAGCCGCACCGTATGGACACTGTACTAGTGTTCTCATTATTGCTTCATATTAAAATGAGTAAATTAAACTGATGAATCAGTGATGGGACATGGATAAAGAAATCGACCAAAATCATTTGGTTTTGTTGGGTTACATGAACGCTTTGATTCATCAAAACACCCACAGAAGCTCATCTGGAGCTGTGATTGGTCAGGATGCCCTGATTTCTCTGTCTTGCTCTCACTCTTTTTTCTTTCTCTGTCTTAATCTTACTCTTTTTCTCTCTCTTTCTCTCACTCTCACTCTTTTTTCTCTCTCTCTTTGTCTTACTCTCACTCTCTTTTTTCTCTTTGTCTTGCTCTCTTTTTTCTCTTTCTTTCTCTTACTCTCACTCTTTTTTCTCTCTCTCTTTGTCTTACTCTCACTCTCTCTTTTCTCTCTTTGTGTTTATGGCTTTCTGTCTCTTTCTCTCTCTCTCTCTTGCTCTCTCTCTGTCGTTATCTCCCTCTATCTCTCTCCTCTCCATATGTCTCTGCATCTCTATCTTTCTTTCTATGTCTTTCTTCCTTTCTCTGTCCCTCTCTCCATCTCTCTTTCTTTCCCTCTCTTTCTCCCTCTCTTTCTGTATTCCTCCCTCACTGTGTTGTTCTCTACCTTATCTGTCTATCCCTGTCTATCTGTCTCAGTCTACCCCCCTGTCTATCTGTCCATCTGTCCATCTGTCTATCTGTCTATCTGTCTATCTATCTATCTATCTATCTATCTATCTGTCTATCTGTCTATCAATCTAACCCCGTCTATCTATCTATCTGTCTATCTATCTATCTATCTACCCCCGCCCGCCACCCACTTCTAAAAGCCTCTACAGTGCTCTGATGTTGACCATGTATGAAGCATCTCTCCAGAACCACCACTACTAAATACAAAAGTGGGCAATTTTTCCCAGACAAATGAAGCCCACTCTCTTTCTCTGCCGTATTATCGTCCCTGTCCTGCTGTAGGTACATCCATGAGCTGTGGAGAGGTGTTCGAGAGCTGTTTGTGTTTGTTTTTTAGAGTACAGGCGTTTCGAGGCTAAAATCCATGACCTGCGGGAGCAGATGATGAACAGCAGCATCAGCTCTGGATCAGGCTCTCTGAGGACCAGCCAGAAGAGATCTCTATACGTCAGGTACACCTTAAAGGCCTTTAGTGAACCAAAAAAACACGTCTTTCATTTTTAATTCATCTTTATGCTTGTTGTTTTTAAGTCTGCAAGTATCGTAGTAATTCTCTTATTTCATTGTTAAATTTTGGTTGGAAACAAAAGGGTCAGAATTTTGAAAAGACCAACGAAACATTGTTCAGTCAGGATTAGTTTTCTCGGTGGTATCTACAGCCAAGCGAGCTTTCTCATTGGTTGGGACTTCAGGGAGCTGAACTGAAGGCATTTTATATTAACTAACAATGTAATTACAAAGTGACAGCAACCAATCACTTTTTGATTTACAGTGGGTGGAACTAGAGCTGCTCTAGGCCTTTGAAAATTCTAGATACATTACTGACTGTGAATATGAGCCGTAGTCTAACCAGGTTTCAGTCAGTTGTAAGAAAAGAGCACAGCAGCAGCTCTACATCAGGACTCTTTACAGACTCTGTAAAACTGATACAAGGTAAAATATACACCGATCAGGCATAACATTAAGACCACCTCCTTGTTTCTACGCTCATTGTCCATTTTATCAGCTCCACTTACTATATAGGTGCACTTTGTAGTTCTACAGTTACAGACTGTAGTCCATCTGTTTCTCTGCATACTTTGTTAGCCCCCTTTTACCCTGTTCTTCAGTGGTCAGGATGGACCCTCACAGAGCAGGTACTGTTTGGGTGGTGGGTCATTCTCAGCACTGCAGTAACACTGATGTGGTGGTGGTGTGTTAGTGTGTGTTGTGCTGGTCCAGTGCTGCTGGAGTTTTTAAACACCACCCAAATAGTGCTGAGAATGATCCACCACCCAAATAGTACCTGCTCTGTGAGGGTCCATGAGGGTCCTGACTACTGAAGAACAGGGTAAAAGGGGGCTAACAAAGTATGCAGAGAAACAGATGGACTACAGTCTGTAACTGTAGAACTACAAAGTGCACCTATGTAGTAAGTGGAGCTGATAAAATGGACAATGAGTGTAGAAACAAGGAGGTGGTCATAATGTTATGCCTGATCGGTGTATGATAATGGCCAAAAAATGTTGGTAACACTTTTCTTGAATGGGTGTCTACATAACACGTTCATAACATCTTACATAAATGCTTCATAACATATTAATGGATGTGCATATCAACATTTATAAAGTCTACATGTTTTACATGATATTAGTATGGACTACTGTGTCATTTTACTCAAACATTTTTCAAAATAAAAATCCTCATTCTTTTATTCTAAGAAAGCATATTATTTTCAATAAAGCGCCTCATTTGTGGGAGCCAAAATAAAAATGACCTCGCTTTACCCCTTTGCTCATTAAGTGCTTTGACATTCAGGCATGTTTCACCTTTACAATTTCAATGTCCTTTTTCCTTTTCTTAATCATTTGTTGCTTTGCATGTCACTTTACTACATGTGACAGTAAATCACTAATGAATATGCTTAAGAATAATCATTCGACTGAATCGTGGTGTGGCTAAGTGTCAAAGCGCTTAATGACCAAACGTCATTTTTATGTTGGCTTTCCAGAAATGAGGCGTCTTACTGAAAATACTAGTTTTTCAAAATTAAAAACATGTTGCTTAACTGGCTGTTTGAAGACTACTAACATGTATTTGATCTCTCAGATCATTTCTTCACTACTAAACTCTTCCTGGCTCTGTTATCTGCTCCTCAGGGCGCTGTTCGACTATGATAAGACCAAGGACTCGGGTCTGCCCAGCCAGGGTCTGAACTTTAAGTTTGGAGACATCCTGCACGTAGTGAACGCCTCCGATGATGAGTGGTGGCAGGCACGGCAGGTCACTCCGGAGGGAGAGGTGGAGGAGATGGGGGTCATCCCTAGCAAGAGAAGGTCAGACCCCGCGCACATCTACGTAAACCAGCCAACGGAGCACTGTATTAGCTACTATAACTGCTTTAGTTATGGTGTAAAATCGCTAGTCTAAAGGATCAACGTCAAAGTCCTTCTAGGAAAGTCTGTCCACTCGGCAGCTGTACACTGCCAGGCAGTTACTTTCCAGTCATACCCCCAGTCAAATCTAGGCCCCAAGCTTCTTGAATGAGGAGAGACCTGTAAACCCGCTACCGAGAGCCTGGCTCTAAAAATCGGACACAAATCGCATCAGTAGTTTTTGGTGTTTGGCTCAAATAAACACAGAAGGAATGTAGTCAGGTTGTTTCGGCTACTGCGCAAACACACATCTTCACAATGAGGGCGCCTTTTCCCGCTTACGTCTTTACTATCAGGTTGATTGGCTCTTTTTTATTGAAAGGCGAGACTGTGCCTAAATACAGCCGCCTTGTTGAGTGTTACAGACTGTACCGTTCATATTTCAACTAGAGACGCACAGCGATGTTGGAATCGTATCAGTATCGGTTGGTAATTACTTTTAAAAATATCAGCATCAGACAGATGTTTAGATTGACTGTTCCAGCATGTGATCATTGCAGATACTGACCTTCTACAAACAGCTTCAGTAATATACAGAAAACATGGAGAGACTCGTTCAGACGGTGAAGCTCAGCGTTCAGTTTTAAGAAGCATCTAAAAACGCATCTCTTTAACTTTGCATTTAATTAAAACTCTACGTCTCGTGGTGTTTTTATCTTTTAATTTGATCTGTCATTTTCTTACATGATTCTAAATTAATACTTATAATTTCTTGTGTTACTGTTTAACTTTATCACCTGTCTGTAAAGCACTTTGAGCTGCCACCGGCATGAAAAGTGCTATATAAATAATTTAAAAAATTACTATTATTATTATTATTATTATTATTTATTGTACTCTGGAAGAGCAGAATGTTTAGGTAATGGTAATTACTGCACTAAAATATCTGCATTGTATTAATTTTTACTGCATTTCTAACCGTAAATGGTACATTTCTCTGTAATGCTGTAATTCAGGTAGATTTAGTCCCAGTTTCTACATTATATATATATGCTTATATATCAGCATCTGCAGATATGTACCTGAGAAATATCCAGAATTCCCATTCCCTAACCTTTTATAACACCTCTGTCAATGTCTAGTGAATATAAGGTATCTGTATAATTTAGGGCTGTATGATGTGGCCAGAATTCTGTATTGTGATTTCTGTATTCATATTGCAGAATGCATTACTGCTTGGTTAGGATCCTCATGACACACTGTTATAGATTTACTGATTTACTGGTCTTCTATGATATCAGTACTGCAAAAGCCAAATTAACAAATGGTATATTTTGACCATGATATAATTTCTGTTGTAGTAAATAATATTTTAATATAGCGCTGCTGTCGGAACAAAACCTCTTATCTCCAAAATGGAAACTTTACAGGAGAAGGAAAAAACATACTTTACCTTTAATGTAAGTCAGTGGAACCAGACTTTTTTCCCCAAGTAATTTTGGGCCGTTTTTTTTGGTCCATTCATCATGAAATTTCCAGACAATGTAAAGAGCAACAGGCCTTTTTTAAATTAGGTCAAAAACTGAAAAAATACAAAAATAGAGATACGAGGTTTTGTTCAGACTACAGCGTTATCTTAATATTTTTAAGATGCTGCGTATTGGTTTTAGTGACCTGTAACTCCCTGTGTGTTTCTGTTCCTTCTCAGAGTGGAGAAAAAAGAGAGAGCCAGATTAAAGACAGTAAAGTTCAACTCTAAGTCTCGAGATAAAGGGGTAAGTCCACTGATCTGTGCCGGCCAACAGGGGTGACACAAACCTCCCCACAACTGACAGAGATGATTTTTGCAGTATTTTAGTGAGAAACTGTATAGAAGATAAAAGGGACAAAAATATCATATTTTCTGAATGATGTTTTTTTTTCTTTTTAAATTTCTGTCAAGTAAATTATAGTTTAATATTTTTTGTTCATTTCTGCATAATTCAATGGTTGAGATGTTAACATGTGAAAGGGTTCACTGTAGAGAAACTTAGTGACTCAGATTTCTTTACAGTGGTGGTGATGGGAACCCGGGTCACCATGTGTAAATCACAGATATAGCCGTTTTATTTACTATCCAAAACCACCTGTGAACCCACACGTCTTCTTCTTTTATTCTCTATTACCTCAGACGTCTGGTTCCTATCACCACCACTGTGAGCAATTCTGACTCTTAAGTGTCTCTAGAACAGAGCGTTTCACACCAAACCACTCTGAATGACTTTGTTTACATCTTAACCATTTAATTATACAGAAATTAAATAAGGGTGAATTGCCCTTCAAGCTGTGTCACTCATTATAGCTTCTCATATTGAGGTTAATGACAGTAATGCTTAGTCACTGCAGTCTGTAGAATGTACTGTACTGTATTTAATACACTAATCAAGCTATCGTACCGACAGTCTGTTATGAGTTAACAGCATGTTTAACTGCGACGGCTGCTGGCCCACCAGGTCTTAGCCTTACAGTACCAGTCAAAAGTTTGGGGACAACTTGCTCGGTCTTAGAATTTTCTTTCTGTTTCTTTTGCATTAAGTAAGAAAAACACCTTGAGAAGTCAACAGCTGTGTCCCAATTCAGGAGCTGCATCCTTTGAAGGACACGGTCTACGAAGGCGTGTCCTTCGAAGGCTGCTTTGACCCGCGAAGGCTTAACTGAAATGAGACGATCTGCTCTGCGGTGGATTTCCTGTTTGCGTCACAGCACCGCTGTTCCCTCCCTTACCTGTGCATCATGAAACACCGCACCTGTCAAGTTCTTTAAAGATGGAGCCAGAAACTTCGATTTTTTTTTGTTTGTTTCATTTATTAGAACTGGAGATGCTTTACCGCCAGCATCTGCATGTTAGTTTAGGTTTTGCTTCAGATCACATTGGCTTTAACATTTGTATTGTTAGCTATTCGACTCAGTTTAAACCCGATACATACATTAAAAGTGTCTCCTCAGCCGCCGTTCGCTCCTCTGCTGACGCCGCCGTGTTCTCGAATCCTCGTCGGCACGCAATGAACCTCGGGATATGTTGGTCGGCGAAGGATCCACCCGTTGGATTCTTCATTGCCATGGAAAAAAAGCCACATTTCTCGGCCACATAGGAGCCTTGGAAATGGGACAGTCTAGTTGTGCCACTGTGACGTAATCGGCCTTCAAATGCAGCCTTTGAAGGATGCAGCCCCTGAATTGGGACACAGCTAATATAAAGCAGCTCTGTGTTAATTCTTTGGGTGCATTTACTGTCCACACTTCATGGTCGTTAAAGTATCTTCTATGACATGAAGAGCAGGTTTTGCCTAAATGATTTCAACAGACAAAATCTCATGAAAATGAGTCACTTTTTTGACGTTTTTATTTTCTCAGAGATTAATTATGTTGTTTTCGAGAGAAAAGCCATGATGTTGAGATAAGGTCAAACCTTGTAACCATGTAAACCTGCTGACTTACAGTACGAACATTTTTGGTGTCCCCAAACTTTTGATGGGCAGCATATATAACACGTAACAAACGTTTGAGAGATAAACCCGTAGCGACTCCGTGAGCTAACTGCCCAACCAAAGCCAGGCATGCATGAGTGGAAAACAGAGGACGATACGCTTGCCATTGACGTCGGACTGCTCCACCTACTGTATGCTGCCCCTCCCCTCCTCTCTTTCTCATCCCTCACTCACCACGCTCCTCCTTTCACACCCCCTCTATCCCTCTATTACCATGCAATGCGGTCTGCAAACCCAACACTGCTCGTGTGCTTCTCTGCTGCTGCTTCAGTCAGAACGGTGAACAGAGCTGCTGTACACTGTACTGTTCTAGATACTGTTCTAGATTATAAGGACTGCTGGAGCTCTAATTTCAGCACTGAGTAATGTTTATTACCAGAGGAACACAGAAAAGGGAGAAGATACAGAGTTAATCCAGGATAAAAGGTTAACCCAGTTTACATTGTGTTGAGTTTCCATCACTTTCTTCTTTTTCTTTTTTTGTTTTCTTTTTTTCTTTCTTTTTCTGTTTTCTTTCTTTCTTTCTTTCTTTCTTGTCTTTGCCTTTTTGTGTCGTTTTTTGCTGTCTTCGTCTTCCTTTCTCCCGTCCTTCTGTTTTCTTTCTTTCTTTCTTTTTGTCTTTTCCTATTTTTCTCTTTCCTTTTTCTTCTTTTTTGACTTTCTTTCTTTCTTTCTTGTCTTCCTATTTTCTTTCTTTCCTTTTTCTTCTTTTTTGAATTTCTTTTTCCTTCTTTTCTTTCTTTTTCTTTCTTTTCTTTCTATCTTTCTGTCTTTCCTTTTTCTTCTTTTTTGAATTTCTTTTTCCTTCTTTTCTTTCTTTTTCTTTCTTTTCTTTCTATCTTTCTGTCTTTGCCTTTTTGTGTCGTTTTTTGCTGTCTTTGTCTTCCTTTCTCCCGTCCTTCTGTTTCTTTCTTTCTTTTTGTCTTTTCCTATTTTTCTCTTTCCTTTTTCCTCTTTTTTGACTTTCTTTCTTTCTTTTTTCTTATTTTCCTTCCTTCTTTCTTTCTTTCTTGCTTTTTCTTTTTTTTCTTTCTTTCTTTTTTCTTCTTTTCCTTCTTTCTTTCTTTCTTTCTTGCTTTCTTTCTTTTTTTTCTTTCTTTCTTTTTTCTTCTTTTCCTTCCTTCTTTCTTTCTTTTCTTTCTATCTTTCTGTCTTTCTTTCTGTCTTTGCCTTTTTGTGTCTTTTTTTTTCCTATCTTCGCCTTCCTTTCTCCCGTCCTTCTGTTTTCTTTTTTTCTTTCTTTTTGTCTTTTTCTTTATTTTGTCTCTGTTCTCTCTTTTATTCTTTTGATGTCACTGTGTCTGGAGCCAAATCCTAGTTTGCAGTAGCCAGAAAAGAAAAGGCTGGTTCTTCTGTGTGGCTCTGCTGTTGGCAGTGCGGCTGAACTGAAGCAGTCAGAGCTCACTCACCCGTCTGCTGTTCCTACAGAGCTTCTGCTGCAGCTCCTTCCACTTTGCATGCAAATGTGGAGGCTAAACCCCTGTCTGTGTGCCAGGTGGTGTAAATCTGTGAGTACTGTGGGGTCCTGAGCTGACTGGGCCTCCGCTGAGTACTGCTAGGAAACAAAGGTTAAACAAAGCTCAGTCAAGACGTTGCATAGAAAATATCTAAAGCATTAAACACCCTTAAAGCGATCAACTTAGTGTCACCTGCTAGCGTGGCCCTACTCAGAGTCACAGCTCGTATACAGCTTCATAGTAACTCACCGTCATACGCCTTCAGACGTGCGTGTGTTTAACCTAAGACATGCACTGAGTTACTTGAATGTACGATTAAAGCAGCTGTTTGATGATAAAAATGCATTGTGCTTGTTATTAAATGTATTGGGACAGGGCTAGATTTACATGGGAGGTGGCATCATGGCATTATTACCAGTGTTTCTCTGAGATTTTAGTCCAAATCTGCCATGTCAGTATGTTTACAGACTTTGTGCACCCAAGTGAGTATAGATCTCAGCAGCTTTTACCTCCTATAAAACGAACCGTAGCAGTAGCCCCAGGTTACATTAATCCCATGCTATAAAACAAACTGTAGACATGACCCCAGTTTATGTCATGTATAATGAGCTTTTTTATCCCATTCAAACTGGTCAAACTTCAGAATTTCCAATTGCTTAAAATTCCATTCCTCCGCCTCCCCACATAAAACTAATCCCAGACGAATAGTATTGTAAACCCTATTCGAGCTGGATTAGTTTTACCAAAGGAAATCTGGTAATGTAATTTGTGCTTGATTTGACTGGCTGATTCATGTGGGATAAGGGATCTGTGTAATTTCCCCAAACAGCCCTGATTGAAACATCATGACGCAGATGTTTACATCAGCATTATGCAACAGGCGCCACACTAAAGAACAATAACAACACATTTTGCAGCTAAATGGCAAATATGGCGCCAAAAAAAAAAAGTGACACAGAACGAGAAAGGAAACTTTTAATTTCATCGTGGGGTGACGCCCATCATCACTTCAAATTGATGGTGCATAATCATAGCATACAGGGGTAGAATGTAGACCAAATTGTTGTGGATTTGAGGCGTCATGAACTTGAGGATTAAGGAATTCGGTCAAATCGAGCTCATTTTTAGCTGCTGTTACATTACTGTGTGATTACTGTGATGTCAGTTCAGTCAGGAATGCTATCACTGACGGAGCTCCGAGTTCAGAGATTTATAGAAGGTGTTTCGTTCCGGAATTTATTATTACTTAGCAGACTGACTGTGGACATTGCAGATTCGTGCTGGATTAAAATCACGGATCTTGTCGGCCATTAAACTACAGCACCTCCCCAGGTGAAACTAATCCAGCTCAAGTAGGGCTTAAGTCAGTGTGCACAAGTGACCTGGGTCCAAAAGGAGAAAACAAGGACCAACAGACTTCTTATCTTTTATAATTTCTAAGATTCTTCCAGTAAAATCATATGAGCAAAGCCACAGCTGTCAAGAATTCAGCTTGCTTCATCCTCCTGGTGGTTGTGGTTTGATTTTCTGTTTCTCCTGCTTTGCTTTCTCTCATTCTGGTTTTGCAGGGCGGGTTTATGGCTGGAGGTGACTTATTTGTTCATTTTGGTTCTTCATTTGTTTCAGTCAGTGCTGAGTTTGTGCAACCTCCCGTTCTTCAAAGCAGCTTTTAATATCTAGTAAATAAAATGATGACCAAAATAGCAGGTCATGAGTTTCGGACTCACCAGTACTGCTAATGGAACTTGGCGGCTGTTTCCCATCAGCCCGTGTTTAGCTGTTCTTCCATGTTTCTGTGGAATCGTAAGGAGATGAGAAGATGCATGAGGTCAGCACTGAAGCATTCAGTTCATCTTTTTATTTTCTCCACATGGACATCAGCCACCCTTCTCTCCCCTCTCCTTTTTTTCTTTGTGTCCTCTCTCCCTCCTTCTCTTCCTCAGCAGTCCCTCAATGACAAGCGTAGAAAGAACCTCTTTTCCCGCAAGTTCCCTTTCTACAAGAACAAGGAGGCGAGCGAGCAGGAAACGAGCGATGTGGACCGTAAGTACAGCGACACCGCGTTCGACCAGGGTTAGGGCAGCACAGCACAGGGCCAGCAGGGGGCGCAGCTACACCGGGTACAGCAGCCATCAGCACCCGTCCTCAGCTGCAGGAGCACAGCCGCACTAGTCTGTGAAAGACTGCCGCAGGTTGTGTGGTTGCATATGCAAAACCTGCATTAAAGCGATAGTTTGGTATTGTTCACTTTACCCCACAGTGTAGTCAGTCAGGCAAGACATGTTTGGTGTCTGAAGTTCTGCTTCTTTAGTTTTGGACCTAAAAGCCTCACATAGCTAACAAGTGAAAGCTCAAGATCCCTGATTAGCGTCATGCACACTTAATGCCTAAATCGTCATAGTCGTGCTTCAAATCACATTAAAGGGCCCATTTCATGGAGAACGTTGATCTAGTATGTCAGAAGTTTGATCTACTACGTAAACATGTACTGTTCACTCCAGAGTCCATATATGGAAGCTGAGCTGCAAAGCAACCTGATTTGATTTCAGGGTTTTTGTGATGTCACAACAACCAATACATTTGCATACACACCGATCAGGCATTACATTCTGACCACCTCCTTGTTTCTTCGGTCATTGTCCATTTTATCAGCTCCACTTACTATATAGGTGCACTTTGTAGTTCTACAGTTACAGACTGTAGTCCATCTGTTTCTCTGTGTACTTTGTTAGCCCCCTTTTACCCTGTTCTTCAGTGGTCAGGACCCCCATGGACCCTCACAGAGCAGGTACTATTTGGGTGGTGGATCATTCTCAGCACTGCATTAACACTGACGAGGTGGTGGTGTGTTAGTGTGTGTTGTGCTGGTACGAGTGGATCAGACACAGCAGTGCTGCTGGAGTCCTGACCACTGAAGAACAGGGTAAAAGGGGGCTAACAAAGTATGCAGAGAAACAGATGGACTACAGTCTGTAACTGTAGAACTACAAAGTGCACCTATATAGTAAGTGGAGCTGATAAAATGGACAATGAGTGTAGAAACAAGGAGGTGGTCATAATGTTATGCCTGATCGGTGTATCCACCTATTCAGCCAATCAGAACAGGGTCATTCACATGTATCCGTCTTAATTCTAATGGATTAAAAAAAGACTGTAAAATGATCATGCAAAAATGAATTAGCATGTGATTTTAGGATATTAAACCCACACAAACCTCATGAGTGGACCTAAAATACAAAAAAGCACTAAATGGCTACTTTTAAAGTAAAAAATGAACTTTTTTCCTAACCTTATTAGTGTTTCTTGTCATATTAAGCATGATTCCCTGATTCATGATTATCATTTAAAAGATAAAATTCTTGTTTTCCTGTAATCGAAGTGTAGTGACTTAAAATATCTGCTTTTTGTCACCATGATGTCATTGTTCACAAGCAGGCAGGGAACAGTTACGTTAACCAATAATACTTTTTCATTCTCTCTTCATATCATCTATGATAGAGAGAAAAGACTCCGTGAGATCAGAGACCCTCCCTGATACTGTTTCACTGACAGATACGATATGGAAGGAAAATACATTATGATTTTGCATTCATGCTGATTTTGAGTAATCTCAAAGACCTTTTGACACTGTTAACTATAGTTAATCTACTAAATTATTAAATTATTATTAATAAACAGGTATTCTGCCAAGAAATGTAGTTATCGTTGCCAAGCAACCATGGACTGCTAAATGAGGTGAACGTTCGGTTGCCCTGTCGCTGTATATTGCAGTCTTTTCATGAACTTTTGCTGTATAACAATGAACATATGGTAACACAGCACTGTTTAATGCAAAAATCTTTTGCTTTATAAGTCACCAAATCACCACCGCGAGTTTTATTTAGCACCCAATCCAGCAGCGCCCCCTTCTCACACTGGGGCTGAATCTCAAACGTCACCCTGCTCCCTACATAGTGCACTATGTAGGAATTTAAATATTGAATCCTGCAGCCCAACAGAGCAAAATACAGTTAAGAAATAGTCATTTGGGTCTCAGACACATCCACACTCCATACATGATGCACTATTTGACTGTAGAAGCTAGAATTTCGAAACTTCCCTAACTAGCACACTATTCAGGGAGTACGGAGCCGTTTGGGATTCAGCCTGGGTTTGATGCGACTTCTGACTGGAACACGAACATGTGAAGTGTGTAAAACATTCAAGTGACATTTTTTAGACTGTTATGCTGCCGTTTCACAGTTAATCATACTGTTAGTGCTTTAATTCAACCTGTGATATTAATGATGGAGTTGTTTAGTCGGTAGTCTATCTATTAGCCTGTTAGCTATCTGACCGGTCTAGTTCTAGTTAAGAACGTAAGTTTCCAGCCCCTCAGTTTAAACAAAAAGGTTCTTACTTCATCCATTATTATTCCACTAACAGCACAAGGCCTTTTCGTGCTGTGGCGCAGTAGAGTTCAGGCGGTCATAGGTGTGTGTATATCATGGATTTTACAACAGCTTCGAACACAGCTCAGCCAATCAGATTTTAGGACCGGAACTGTCCGTTTTATAAATAGTCGGTAAAACTGTAGTAGCAGCCAGTGCCACCTGAATTTTGGTCTGGGTCCATTTTGGCTGTTTGCGCGATTATAAACTTCAGCAAACTTTGGATACCAAACATGCCTGGGCTGATGGGCTACTTTTGAAGTTGGTGGTGGTGGTGGTGGTGGTGGGGGGGGGTTGTTGGACTGTGCAAATTAGATTTTTTGCAAACTGTTGCTGAGTAAATGAGCTGTAAGGCAGTATTGGTTTTGCATACACTACCTGCCTGCATTCTGTCGGGGTCAGTGGCTGCTGTATCCGGTAGTTGTTCCCAGATTGTGTCAGTAACCCCATTGTGCTCTTGTGGTTGTTTTGCTCTCTCCTGCTGCTCTCTCTCGCTGACCACAGGATAACCAAGACGACGTGCTTTCCAAAGGCCAGAGTAAGTGCGCACCGGCCCCCAGACGCCCGCTGCATCTGTAGAGCAGACGCCCCTTCACCCTCACTCTTCCACCCCACTCTCACTGCCCCCTACGTGCTCTCTCTATCTCTCATAGCTCATTTCCACACTCATTCCACCTCATAGACCCACCTTTAGTGCACTCGCCTTATAGTGTCAGTAGAGTGATTTCAAGGATAGTGATGCACCGAAATGACACACTCAGCCGAAAATCTAAAGAAATAGTTCTTTTATATATAATTTACATTTTATTTGTGCAGTTGAATTAATGTAATAATGCTGACATGCTTCAAAGGTGATAATCACAATGTTGGGAAAGAGAACCCCGAGAGTTAGAGGACTGATTTAATATTAAACAGCTTGGGAAATAATGTTAAACATTAAAAGTTCTAAAAGTTAAAAATATAACACTTTATAATAACACTTTAATAACACTATATAACACTTTAATATAACACTCAATTCCAGATTGCCTCCGCTATAACGACAGAAATCACCTAATTTTGTCTTTTAAAAATTATGTAAAACACATGAACGTGGGTTTGGAACTCCTGCTCAATATGGTTTTCCAGCAGGGGGCGCTGTTTACATGCACGTTGCTTAAGTGTTGATTATTTGGAGAAAAAAACGGCCCACACCAGGAACGTGTCAGTGCTGACAGGAGAGTGAAGAAAACAAAAAGTTCTCATTTTCATTACCGTTCAAATTATTCAATAAAGCAGCCTAATTACTAAAGCTTCACTATGTAAGATCTGTTCGATTCTCTTTGAACACGCTCGCAATCATCAGATTCATCTGCTCAGGGAAGAGGTCAGAAGCACAACCCTAGTTAACAAAATGCTCGTTGACATGTTGTGTGCAATTACACATTTAAACCAGAGAGGGCTCCAAATCCCCAGATCTTACATAGTGCAGCTTTAAGTATTAGATTTTGACTCTTAATTGTAATCATGTTTAATCTTACTTTTTTTTACCCAAATCTTCTGTCGTTTTCCTCTTTTGGAAACCAACAGTGTCAATTTTAGTTGGCTGAAATTTGGGTGCATCCCTATTCAAGAACAACACAACCTCATTTTTGTCTCTCTTTATGCTTAGCATACACTCAGGCACACATACATGCACAAAAACAGTGAGACTGCTGTTCGAGGGGCGTGCTGACTCGTTATTTTTGGTTCAAAACCACAAAATCTCACAAACTGGAAGAAAATATGACCAGCATATTCATAATTAGTGGCTGACAAAGTACTTCAAATGGTCGGTTTACCTTTGCTGAGATGTATAGCAGGAAAAACTTGCCAGTGAAATGAGTTTCAGGTGCTTTAATCTCTTAGTAACAGTAAGTAGAGGCCTTGATTGTCAGTGTGCTTTTAGTCTGAACTTTCAGTCTGATTTGTGTTTGAATATAAAAGTGGGTGAAATGGCAAAAACATAACACTTGAAGGTGTTTTCATGATGAATGATATACATCTCAATGTAGGTTTTCTGAGGTTTTCATGCATAGTTTTTCTTTAAAATGTCACAAAATCTACAATTTAAATGATACATAATAATCACTGTCACAGTTATTACATAATCGACTGATTATTTGAGCTAAACTCAGTTCTTTTCCACAGTTATTATCATATCACACCAGTCAGTATTGATGGGTATCTGCAAAACACTGGAGCCACTAATGATACTTTACTGAACATTTGTGATGCTGAACTATGTTTGAAGGAACAGGAAGAAAGATCAGTTGATAAATGTAATAAGATGATGTCATAGTCGGCTGACATCCAATCAGCTGCATGTTTATTCAGTTGTTGTTGTTTACAGGCTCTGTAATTGGTCTAAATCTGTCTTGAAGATCCATGTTGTTGTCCAGTGTTCTGGAAGTACTGACCATACCTTCCATACAATCGTCTGCAAAAGTTTGGGCACTCCTGGTCAAATGACATGCTGTTTATTTTGTAAGTGAAAATAAGTGAACATCCTCTACAGAGAGCACACCTCTGCACATTTTAATGCAAAAGATGTGGTTTGTGCAGAAGTTATGGCACCTTCTATTTTGTATTCTTTTTTTAAGGTTTAATTTTTTTATTGTTTTTATAATAACTGCTTTGTACAGGAGAGTAGCATGTTATTCCATCTAAGCAAACAAATAAACAGGGACATTTAGTGATAGCATATCTAGGAGAATCGGCATAAATTACTCCCAGAGCTCTTAAAAAATAATGATTATTATAACAATAATAAATAAACCAATCAATACAGAAGCATTACAAAGTGTTACAAAGCTACAAGTCAGTTGAATTTAAATACTCTGCCGCCTTGATCCACATCAGAGTATAATTTACATTTTGGGTTAAAAGAATAGCAGCTTTTAAATTTTCTGGTTTTTTTTTCTTCAGTATGTTAAACTCAGTACATCAGTAGAAATTGTGCACTACAATTAGCAAGACAATGCAGTGTTTAAGTTCTCCTTTAGAGGATGTGTCGACCTATTTTCACTTAGATCATTAACAAAACGTGATGTTCAAACTTTTGCATACAGGAAAGCGTAATGTGTGTGAATTATCTCAGTAATGATAACACACTGTTACATTGCCCTCACCTCAGGGTTGTTCAGGTGTTTTGCAGGGGAAACACTAAGCTATGCAGTGGCTGTGAATGACTGGCAGTTTGACTCTGCTGGACAATTAATTGTGTTTATATTTCTCTTTGGGTTTATGGAGTACTGTGTTTTAACCCGTTCAGATCCTCTTTTCTCTAGGTTTTTATGTTTATATATACAAAATGTTTTTTTCCCCATGTTGTGTGCAATGACACATTTAAACCAGAGAGGTCTCCAAATCCCCAGGTCTTACATAGTGCAGGGTTAAGTATTAGATTTTGATATATATACTTGGTTTTTTGCAATATGAGATCACTCAAATGCAAAAGATGATTTTTTTTTTTTGGTAAGCAGATTATAGAGTATGCTTTAAAGGGCCCATATCATGGAAGATGAAAATTCTCTGCTGAGACGCCGTTGCCAAGCAACAACTTTGACCGCTGTAGGAGACGCTCAAGCCATTTGAACGTTTTTACTTCTTACTTTGCCACAAACAGAAAATGGACACTTTTAAGATCACATTTGACCGACAGCCGATTTGGTCAGACTCTGAAGATGAGACTACGCTAAATTCCCAAACTGTCATCACCACTGAGCAGCTTTTCAGTCGGCAGCTGAGACAGAAGAACAGCCGGAAATGAACCCAACACCATTCGCCAAACTAAATGTGCTGTAAGATGCTTTACAGACTGGCTGGAACAAAACAGCACTAATATTGATCCAGCAAAAACTGACAAAACTGAGCTAAACTTGATATTGCGGCAGTTTCATGGCTCAGTCCGTACTTCAAAACTATAATTTGGCGGAAGGAACTGCGAACATTATAACATATTAAGAGCCGCATTCACGGCCCAGTTTATTTATTTCTTACTTTATTTATTTAACTGTTGTATAAAAGCAATAGAACACTCGAGGAGTGTGTTATCGCACACATTTCCTCTCATGTTCTGTTGCTTAAATATACATATATACTTCACCCATTCATGCCGCAATCCAAACAATCCATATATGGAAACTAAGCTGCAAAAACAGCCCATTTTGAATTAATTGTTCGTGTAATGTCATCAAAACTCATTTACATACACATGTTCAGCCTACAACAGTTTAGCCCCACCCACTCACATTAAAGTTATAAGGATTGTTTCAGCATGGACTGCTTTTTGTATTAGACAGCCAATCAGAGCAGAGCTCTTAATTCTAAGGCATAAAGAAAGATGAGAAACATGAATCATGACCATTTTTGATACACAAATCATACAAACATAATCTCTGAGGGATTAAGGGCCCTTTAATGTAGAACCAGATCTTAGTTGGCATATCAGAATAGCCTGATATGAGAATACCACGATTTTCTGATACTTGATGTCCATTGTAATGTCAAAAACTTCAGCTGAAGAAAAATCTTAAAAATAACTCAATATATTGTAATATTGAGATGTAGCTGCTCTGTTGTAATGGACATCATGATAATGTGTTGATGAATTATACTTTATTGTGTCATTCAAAATATGTGTAGTTGTGTCGTTTTGGAACATTACCTGGATCTGAAAGGGTTAACTCTCTGCTCTGCCCTCTAGAGGCCATTGTGGGTGTTACTCATGTGTAATAAGCCATTCTGGCTCCTCTCTTGCTGGGGGGTCTCCATCTGACTGTGTGTGTGTTTGTCTGTGTTTGTGGTTTTTCACTGTCCCCCCTGTGCTGTGATTTCAGAGCATGTCACCTCTAATGCCAGTGATAGTGAAAGTAGTTACCGTAAGTTTTTCCTTTTATTTTCCCTTCATATCATCAGTCGTCCTCATCTGCCTGTCTGATTGTCCTCTAAATGTGGCCTTCTGTCTTACTAGCATGCACACACACAGAACACACACACACCCTTGCATGCACATGCCTCAGTCTCTTGTGTTCTGAGGGCCTGAAGTGTGAACATACAGATGTGTGCAAATATTTGGGCACCCCGTCAGTTTTTCTAAGTGAGAAGTTACACGTCCTCTACAGAGAACACACTTCTGCACAGTTTAATGCTCAACTACTGTTTATTTGCTCAACTGAATATTGTGCAAAAGTTACAGCACATTTAATGTTAAACTCAGCAAAAAAATAGAAATCACGCACTAAAATGTCATATTTAAGTGTGTTCTCTGTAGAGAATGTGTTAACCTATATATATATATATATATCGCTGCTATCGGAAGAAATCCTTGTATCTCCAAAATGGTAACTTTACAGGAGAAAGAAAAAATTACTTTCACTTTTAATGTAAGTCAATGGAACCAGGATTTTTTTCCATGTCATTTTGGGCCGTTTCTTTTGGTCCATTCATCATAAAATTTATACACAATGTAAAGAGCAACAGGCATTTTCAAACTATGTCAAAAACTGAAAAACGACAGAAATAGAGATACTATATATATGTATATATATATATATATATATGTGTGTAATTCAACATTCGATATGATACTTTTTCAGATTTATTAGAGCATTCATCATTCTAAAAGAACAGTATTTGAAACAAAAACTGTTCTTCATAGTGTCCCGATCTAATGCTCTAGACTCAAGTTAACACATTCAGTTATTATTAACACATTTTCCTCATTTGATCCTTTGAATCATCCGTAGTTCCAGCCTGAAGCCCAGCAGCAGCATGCTGTTGCTATGACTCTGCCGCTGTAGCCTTCGCTTCCAAAAGCAGCTTTTAGCATGAAGTTCCACTAATGGCTCTCTTTGTTAAAGAAGACACTTATTTCCTATGGTGAATTCGTTCATCACTGAAGGACGTTGAGTGGAGTCTGTCATTAATTTGGTAGACTACACTGGACAGTGCTCGTGGGACAACTATGGATAAATCAACGAGCAGCAAACTAACAAAAACAACAGAAAGTGTAGCTCCAGTTTCTCTCAAGAGCCTCCACTGAAACTAGCGAGAGCGACAGGCTACAATCACAGAGGAGCTGAACCATATATATACACACTCATTGGTTAGAACATGCAGCCACTGTTGCTCTCACTGGACTTTAATGATGAAAATTGGAAACTGTGTTCACTCTGTGTGGAAATGGTTTTTGCATTCACACAACAAAAATATTGTTATTGATTTAAGTAATAAGTACTTTTAATGAAGCTTATTTTGTCTGCTTGTATATAACAGTGCACTGCTTTTAAAATGGAAAAAATCTCTGAGCAAAAAAGACAAATGCAAATAATTGCGATTAAGTACACAAAATATGATTAGTGTGTGTAGCGAATCACACTTAATGTGTTTAATCGTGATTAATAATTGTTTGTGTAGTTGTCGTGAGTAAATGATGCTGTTAGACAGACAGACAGACAGATTCCGGTTCTCTCTTAGTGAGGAACACTGCAGTGAGACGGCGAATGAATGTTCCAGAAGCCTGCGAGCGCACAGCCACAGAGATACAATACTAAAATCAATCAGCCCCCAGCTCAGTCTCCATAGCAACAGCGCTTTCTATGCCCATCCCATCGTCTCTTTTTCATCTCTCTCTCTCTTTCATTATATACTGACAGTATCATCTCCGCTGTACAGTATAATATGCTGCTGTCCAGCCTTAATATTTTATATTAGAAACAGTCGTGCTCAGTATGAAGAACACAGATCACATTTATTTAACAGTGTTTGGGTCATTCTTGGTTTGGAGTGAGAAGTTAGGTGGACACATTTTTAAACAATCAGTTTCTTTCATCCCAAACCTAAATAATCTTAATATGTCCGTTAACATCTCCTATTATAAATATATGCAAAAAGGAGAGTTTAATTCCAAACATATTTTACAGTCACTGGTGTTCTATGAATGTGGTGTAACACCAGTGACGGAGACTCCAGTGACATTCTGGTTAAAACTGAGGATTTTGTAAATTGGCTGACTCATTGACCATCAGGTGACCTTGTGCAAACTTTTAAAATCAGTAATAAAAATGATATTTTGCATTACCATTCTCATACCTTGAGATGCTTCCTCTCTGATGAGCCTCGACCCAAAGCAGCAGTTTAATAGAGCTGAAAATACTGTGTTAAAATGTAACATAAGAGTCCTGATAACAGCAGTGACCACAATCCCTGTGACAAATGAATTTTTTAAATAAAATACATATTTTTAATGTGATATAATGTTAATGACATATAAAAGTAAGCCTGAATCTGTTTTATACAAATTCTTAAGGTAAACCTCTTAAAAATATTGTTTTATATTAAAAATGGTTTCTCAAATGTTGAGAATTGTTTATGTGATGAGCTGTTTTACATGTGCAGAGCGACTATGAAACAGAATAGAAAAAGAAAAATCATAGGAATCATAAGGGAAAGTAATATTTAATCTTAGGTCAACCGTGTAAATGTACATACTGACTTTTGGAGCTTTGCCTAATATTTTAAGCATCTTTTTAAGCCCTGCAACCTTTGTGACATGGTTTCCCACTCCAAATGGAGAACGACCCATTTGTGCACTGTTGTTTCAGTAGCTTTGTTGATTCTTTCACTCTTATTCTTGTACATAATCACATGCAAACTAACTGACCTAAGAAATCTATACTGACACCAGTAAATACATGTGGTAGAACATACAATACATATTACTAATAAGCATGAAAATTGTGCTTGGACATCATTTTCTGCACTAACTGAAACAGGTTTTAACTCGCTTGAAAAGAAATAAACACCGAAATCACCGACATGCGTTCATTCATGATGAATGTGCGTCTGCCTGAAAAGCGTAACCCACAGAGCAGCGCAGACGTGCTGAGATGTGCAGAAAGCCATTGACTTTTATCATCACAGCAGCCAAGACTGCATTAACACTGTGTGCTTATGAGCTAGTGGTGACCTCTGGTGGTCAAAAGATCAACTGCAGCATTTTATAGCCTTTGGCAATACATCCTCGCTGGTCACTTAATCAGAAACACCTCTCTTGTAGCTCCACCTTGCTGGTATGCAGTTAGAGACTGTAGCTCATCTGTTGATGTACAGTTTGCGTTAGTCATCCTGTAGTGCTTCATCATGTGGTTTCTGGCCACTCTTAGCCGGTCAGAAATTGTGGTCCGAATGGGATAGAAGGGAACTGATACATCGTGCAGCAACAGATGGGCTATAGTCTGTAATTGTACACCTATACTGTGGACCTATGAGGTGGGTATTTCTAATAAAGTGGACTGCAGATGGAGCGTTGGTCTTGTTTTGACCCAGAGTCGTCCCTTAACTCATCCCATCTCTACTGTATATGTGCATTTGACCTTAACACTGTAACACTACACCAGACAACACAACATGAGCGCAGGCAGCAAGGAAACCACATTGCTTTTTCTAAAGATGCCTTTGTGTTTGACTCTCAGGTGGGCAAGAAGAATACGTACTGTCCTACGAGCCGGTGTGTCAACAAGAAGGTGAGAGATTAAATCAGTTTGTGTGACTGCAGTATTAATCTGTCTGTTTTCCCATTGCAGAATTTTAGAAGTTCTCTTTTATCCAGTCAGCGGACCTCAGATTTTATCCTACTAGCCTTGTTTCAGTTTGTTCATAATTGAAGTTCCATAGAGAAATGCTGTATAATACATTTGGGTTTCTCGCAGTAATTTAGTCTAGATGTAACGATAAATGAAAAAGGGTCTCAGCTATTGAGTTTAAAAGGAATGAGTGCAATCTGGAAATGTTCTTAAGATGAAAGAAAGCAGTCTGGGCAACATTTTTAATGTGACAAATAATACAACTGCGCCAAGAAGGGTGTAAAATCTGGGATATTTAGCATCTGCTGTCTCGTGTGGCTGTAGTATGGTCAGATTTATCATTGTTTAATTTCTTAGCCTTCCAGGTCTTTTTTATCAGCCAAGCAATCAACCATGGCGGAAGGTGGCTGCATGTTTGAGGGTTTAGCGTGTATGTAAATTTGTGTATCGTTGGCACAACAAACTGAAGACCACGCTGCCTGCCAAAAGGAAGGGCAAGTAGATAATGAAAAGTACTGGGCCAAGGACTGAGCCCTGGGGAACACCATATGAGATGCTAAATGGATCAGATCTAAACCTACCAATAGAAACAAATTGCTGCTGTAATATGTTCTGATAACACTGAATATCAGTACATTACAATCTGAGCCACATTGTAGTATTATAGAGAAATGGGATTTGGATTTTTTTATCGTTTAGTGAACATTTCTCTTTGTACAGTGATCTGTTCTTGAGCATAAGCACTAGGGCTGTTCCAAATACCATTTTTTGGGCTCTGTAGCTTCAGCATTAATCAACAGCGAACATTTGAAGCTTCGCCCCACGTTGGTTGATCTGCTTCCAATGCCTGTGTTGAAAGCACATTTGCGGCTTCATCCGCTGCACTCACGGCTCTTTCAGTGCGATTTCGGAGATCATCCAGTGTTGTGGAACCAACGACGAACGCTCTGAGCTGTTGGAGGTTCACTGCTAACGAAAATCACACTGCACAGTTATGACTGATTCACTCTTATTGAAGTGGAGAACGCAAAACGCTTTCTGCTCAGAGGTTGCATCTCCTCTCAGACTGAAGGGAGCCATCTTCCAGTGACAGTCAGAAACACTATCACCCCCTCTTTCAGTTGGTATGTGATTGGTTCCTAGGCACCTCACGGTTGAAAAATATGGAGCTTTGAAATCGGATGAATCTTTTTGAATCACCCTGTATTTCCACATTTTAACAGTGTGATGAAAAAAATATATAACTACAAGAATGTGCTAAAAAATGTACTGTGGCGTGGCCGCATTGTAAGTAGTTGAGTTTTTTTAAACAGAAGAAATGCTGGGTTTTAGGTTCATTCGTACAAGGACTTTTATGTTTAAGAGCCTGAATACGGGTGGATTGGTGGGTTTTCCGTAGTAGAACAGAGGGCTGTGTTTTAGCTTTTAGTGCTGGAGAGGCTGTTTCTTCTCACCATGTTTGGTGCTGTTTTCAGCAAATTAAAAATAAGGCTGTGTTGTGGATCCATAACCTCAAGACATCGAAGTTTCTCCCGAGAACCCAGAACGTTACAGTATTTTGCACTTCACCTCTATTGATAGCCTACATTTAGCCAAAAAAACAAAACAAATTCCCAAACGATTCCCAAAATGAAAAACCGAATACCTACCCAACAAACACTTATCCAAACAGTGATGAACACACCTATACATCCCATACTGACATCATTAAAACAATGCTATAATAAAACTCTATTTTTATTCATTTACTTACAGTAAACTACACTCGCCCAGTGATCATCCTGGGCCCGATGAAGGACCGAGTCAACGATGACCTGATATCGGAGTTCCCTGACAAATTTGGCTCCTGTGTTCCTCGTGAGTATGCAGGTTCATCTGTGTTGGCCAGACCTGCTGCAGCTGCCTCATCAACGTTTAGCTTGGAATCCAACCGATGTGTTGTCCAAGCTAAATGCAGGGAAAATAATTCGCTATTGTCAGCCTCTTTAGCCTCTTTGGCTGTGTCACTGCTCCATCAGTGGCCGTCTGTTCATAAGCATGTTCTGATTGATGCCCATTAAAACATTATATTTGGCTTTAGCAAAGTATTATTTAGTTTATCTCATTCACAAACCACCCGCACTCTTCAGTGATACTGTGACATGCTGTTGTCTATAAAACAGACAAAAAGGTATGTTACGTAGCTGAAAGCAGCAGCAGCCGTCTTGAAGCCCGAATGTTATCCATACTTTTGATGTGGTTTGAGGCAGGTGATGATCTACTGTTGTACTGTTTTGTTGAAGAGAGTGAAATCACACTGTGTTGAGATCAGAGATCAGTATCCACTGATGAGGGCTAAACCACCACTGAGCACTGAGGTGATAAAACCTGCTAAGACTGGCGTTTCCTCTCGTTTCGTCTCAGATACGACCCGGCCGAAGCGGGACTACGAGGTGGACGGGCGAGATTACCATTTTGTAGTGTCTCGAGAGCAGATGGAGAGAGATATTCAGGAGCATAAGTTCATCGAGGCGGGCCAGTACAACAATCACTTATACGGCACCAGTGTGCAGTCTGTGCGTGAGGTGGCTGAAAAAGTAAGACCCTCGGCGGAACCCAGCACTGAAATCTGTCTGTCTATTTGTCTGTCTCTTTTCTCTCCATCTGTTTTTGTTTTACATCTATCTGAATCTCTCTCTGTCATTGTATATCAGTCTGTCTTATTGCCTGTCTGCCTGCCTGTCTATCTGTCTGTAAATCTATGTCTTTCTGTCTGTCTCTCTATCTATCTGTCTACCAGTCTATCTGTATCTATCTGTCTGTTTGTCTTTCTGTCTGTCTCTTTTTGTCTGTCTATATGTGTATTTGTCTATCCGTCTGTCTGTCTAGCTGCCTTATCTATCTATCTACGTCTGTCTATCTATCTATATTTGTCTGTCTATCTGTCTAGCTGTCTTATCTATCTCTCTATCTATATCTGTTTGTCTGTCTATCTATCTGTCTGTCTATCTATCTTAAATGTACTGCAGTTATTGTGAATTAACCTTGTGAAGCGGTGATGAAGAATTAGCCATGATTAAAGTGAAACGAATATTGAAAATGTCTTTGTGGTGAATCTGTTCAGGAATACGAGAATGCAGTTTATTTTATACAGCAGTCTTTGAATTCTTGTATTTTGTTCTCATTCTGTGTGAAGACCCAGCTGGACTGGCAGTACAGTTGTATGATCAGGGGGTAGAACTCGAGTAATTTGGATAAAACACATAGTAAAAGAAAAGATTCTCTGGCAGGAGACTATCACTCTAAATAATCTAATTGTGAACATTAGCTGTAGATAAATCTCAGCATATTTAACATTCACCATATGAAGCGTTCAGTTACTGCAGAGCTTGTTCTGTTTTACTGAGCTTATTTTTTTAACTTTGTTCTGTTTTTCTCAGGGCAAACACTGCATTCTAGATGTATCAGGCAACGCAATCAAGAGACTGCAGGTTGCTCAGCTCTATCCCATTGCTATCTTCATCAAACCAAAATCAGTGGAGAACATAATGTGAGTAGAAACAACCCCCCCACACACACTCACACACACCCCCACACACACAGCCAGTTAATACAGAAATCTGAAAACAGGCAAGTTTACATGTAAACGTTAATCTTTCACTTCATCTATGTGTAAAACTGAACGTCTACTGTGTAAAACTGATCTATTACAACTAAGCATTACATCAGGCACAGCAAAACTGTATCTTATCCACATCTGATATAGTTCATTCACCCAGAATAATCTGTGGGCGTCTGTGTTTCAGGGAGATGAACAGGAGACTGACGGAGGAGCAGGGAAGGAAAACGTACGACAGAGCCATGAAGCTGGAGCAGGAATTCACGGAGCACTTCACAGGTCAGCCAGCACAATATGCCTTTCTGTAGTGGACACTTCTTGTGGAAGAGAAGCGAACTTCAATGCCAAGTTTATTTCTAAAGATACGTATACAAATGTATGCATAATTGAGGTGCACCTCTCATAAATTTTTCTTTACAGCCAAATTGGCCAAGGGCCGTTTTGCTCATTATTAACCTTTTTTTTTTTTTTTTATTTATTTTATTTTTTAAAATACCTGAAGCTCACACTGTGTGGGCTAAATGAACACATAAAACATATGTGTACCAGCACTTTATTAGCCAATGTTTCAACACTAATACCATGATGTGCACTTTAATAGGCCACACTGGTTAAATTCTTAAACTTAATAAATAATTTGCCCATTTAAATAATATTAATCAGAGGGCTAGATTGAAAGTAAGAGGTGACTAATTAGCACAAAGAGTCAGAATTTTGGGACTGTGTTTTGGTTCAGGTGTAGCAGCAGCATTCAAATAGCATGTTTCAAGCAAAACGAGCCAATTCCAAACTTGGCAAATCCGATCATGCATCTCTACTTTGTAATATGCAAATATGGAACATAAGGAATGTTGGGTAGGACTATGGATTTTATCTGTTCAGATGGAGAGGATACGGCTCATGAGCAACCACGCAGCTGAACGCTGACGTTCAGTGTTCTTCATTGTTGATTGTGTCACTATATAAATTCCTGTTGCTTTATTATCCTGCAGCTAACCTAAAGACATATTAGGGGACGTTCAGATGCCCCTCTTGCTAAAAAGAAGTAGAACGTGCTTTTCAAGGACGTATCAGTACATTTGATTGACAAGCAGGTAAACAGGAGAAAGAGACCTGAGAGAACTTGAAAAACCAAGGAGAGCAAAAATATTTAAAAACATATTTTTTCATGTTCACTTTGTTTTGGAAGTTCGAAAATAGGCAAAGCAAGCTAGAGACTGAAGATCGCGTCCTCAATACTTTTCAGTCGATGTATGTTGCTTTTTCAATGAAACGCAGTTTAAAATCGCAGACTGCGCTGCACAGATTAGAGGAGAGGAGACAGCAACGAAGAGAGTGTTTGAAAAGGCATCTTCTGAACATCCCCTTATTCAGTAACTACTCTGGATTGTTCAACAAATGCTATGAAAATAATGTGTAAGTTGTGTAGATAAGAGTGAGGCACTGAAGCGACGGCCGACCTACGGGCCTTTAAATTTTAAGGTATCTCAATGCAAAGTTAATTAAACTTAAAATTTTGTTTGTCTGTGTTGCAGCCATTGTCCAGGGAGACACCTTGGAGGAAATATACGATCAAGTCAAACTCATTATTGAGGAGCAGTCTGGGCCATACATCTGGGTACTGTCCAAGGAGAAGCTATGAACAGCTGCGAGTTCCATTCTCCCTCCCTTGTCTCTGTTTTATTTATTAATTCTCTTAACAACTTAACCCCCTGATCCTTCAGTCCCCCCTCCAAATCTCAGTTCACAGTCTCATCCCTCTGAAGTCATGAAAGACACCTGTGAATGACATCCACACCAGTAACTCTACAGTAGGTGTTCCTCAAGGGTGGATATTAGGTCCTCTTCCGATCTCCACTGCTTCCAGCTTAGAGAGAGGGGGAGTATGCCAGACCAGCATCCATTAACAGGCCTTTGAAAACGGTACAGTTCCTTAATGTTTAAGGGAGGTTACTTTCTAAGGAAGAAGAGATAAATAGACTGGGCTGGATCATTTCTTTCATTTCTTTTTCCTTCGTGTAAGATGATACAGAGGTTGCGTCTCAGGCATCGGAATCATAAAATAGAGAAACAAAAAAAAAAAAAATTCACAAAAAGCAAAACTTTGCACGTTATAGCTTTAAGAGCATGTGTTCTTTGACCTTTTTTTCGTTCCTTTCCACTCATAGTCCCATGTTTTCAATGCATTTATCATAGTTTTGTTTTAATTTTGACTGTTGGTTCGCATATTTCATATTTCGCTCTTCGTTACGTGTCCATGTTAGGGAGCCTTTATTGTTTTTTTTTTTTCGTTTGTTTTGATCACAGTGTGCAGTCAAAATGTTGGCTTTTCTAAATCTATGATCAGTGTCTTACATAAAGTACTACATTTTCAATACTTTTGATTTCACATGTAGGAAAGTCTGCCATTTGTAAGGAACTGCCATTTTAAGAGATGTCCCTGTGCATCTTGCGGCTTCAATTGCCAATGCATACATGAAAGAAAAATTATTGTACAATGAAATCTTAACAGATATTTAACCCTCCATGAACTGCCTATTTTGTTATAATAAAAAGTCTATATTGAACTTTACTTAAGCACTACTACTACGGGAATTATTTTCTTTACATTGTAAGACGTATATAAGAACAAGGAATTTTGCAGAGACTCTTATAATATGGAGATATATATATATATTTTTTCCTTTTTTCCTTTACCACCTTTGTCTCATTTATTTTCCTATGCTGAAATGAACGGTGCAGTAAGCGGCGCGTGTCTGTATGAAGACTGAACGTGGAAGCTAGCAGTCGTGCAGTATTTTTGAGTTGAAATCACACCTAGCGCTCCTCTGGCAGCTAGCTCTCTCTCTCTCTCTCTCTCTCTCTCTCTCTCTCTCTCTCTCTCTCTCTCTCTCTCTCTCTCTCTCTCTCTCTCTCTCTCTCTCTGCCTCCATCTGAGCTCCGTCTGCTCATGTCAAGTCTTTTTACTGCGTGGAAGAGAGTAGTGCCTGGTCTGTTGCCCCTCCGTTCCAGCCGCCGAGAGTTTGAGCAGGAAGAACTGACTGAGCTCCGTCGGGCCTACAAGCTCCGTAAGAGACTCGTCCTTTTCTAAACCCGTCCAAGAGGGGGCGCCCCGCCTGCTCGTCTCATGATACATGATTGTTTTCTATACTTAAGACTGCTTGTTCTACCACCTCACCACCTCTGCTTTTTAGGGACACTTTGGGACTGAAGAAGAAAAAAAAATACATGTAAATAACCTACTGATCTGATTCATTCCATTGATCAAAAAGAACCGGAGGAGAACGGCTAATTCAACAAATAAAACAGAACGTTTCTCATACAGCTCCGTGTCGGTGTGAGTGTTTCTTTAGAGGTTTTTAGGGAGTTTATCAGCTGAATGCTGTGCATTAAAGGGGAATTCAGGATATTTTGATGTGAAATGGTTCATTGTGGAGAAACAGCTGAATTCTTTTGAGTTCTGATGTCTACAACACAAATACAGCCATTTTATTTACTTTTAAAAACCACCAGTGAACCTACACGTCTTCTGAGTTTTTCTTTGCAGTGTTGGTAAAACAGTGGTAAATCTTCATGGGCATGAATAAAAAAAATTGACTAAAACTTCTCAACTTTTGTAAAACATTGAGTGTGTTTACATGCACTTAATTATCCGATAACTGCAGAAAATCAGGTTTTGTCAGTAATCCAATCAATGCGTTTACATGCACTCGAGTAATCAGATAATGGGGAAACTCCAGGTCTACATGAGTCAGACAGTAATCAGATTTCTGCTTTGCAACCAGCCAATAAACTCGCAGAAGAAGACGTGATGTAAACATAACATAAAACTCAAACTTCATGCTGCTGCTTTTTTTTTTAAACATTGCGCCGCTTTACCTGAAAATATGAACATACATCATCTAGAAGATGAAGAATATTTAAATCCTTCATTTCATATCCTTCATTTTCAGAGTATGGTGTTTACATGACCATTTGAATAATCGGATAGCTGCAGAAATCTGATTATGATCGGATTATTGAGTGCACGTGAATGCACACAATGTCTCAAACTCAGGGCGGCGTATTTCTAACAGTTTTGTGTGAGGGAGCTTTTAGAGGCACTCAACTTTGCTGCCTGATACGTGAAACACTTTTACGATAGTCTTGGGATATAATTTTTGCTTAAAATGTATTTTTAGAAATCCATTCGTGGTAGAGAGGTACAAGCAGATTTAGCACTTTCACCATCATCACCACATAAAAATTCAGATGTGTAGGTTCACTGGTGGTTTTGGATAGTAAATAAAATGGTTCTATTTGTGTTGTAGACTTTACAACCCGTCGTTCTCATCACCACTGTGAAGAAATCTAACTCCGTGACTTCTTAATGATTGATGTAGGAATTTTGAAAAATTGGTCAAACTCCTGTTTCCACCCCAGATGATTTTGAATACCTCAATGGCAATATGGCATTTTGTCCATTTTGTGTACACCTAGAGTAGTCATCTGTCTGTCTGTCTAGAATCTTGTGTCCATGGCACCAAAACATGGACCTCAAAGTGGACCTCTTTTTAACAATGACCCTGTCAGGTCTCATTATAACATACATTTACCAAGCACTTCATTACAAACAACACCTTTATCTACACTGGTTGTCCATTTTATCAGCTCCACTTACTATATTGTAGTTCTACAGTTACAGACTGTAGTCCATCTGTTTCTCTGCATACTTTGTTAGCCCCCTTTTACCCTGCTCTTCAGTGGTCAGGACCCCCATGGACCCTCACAGAGCAGGTACTATTTGGGTGGTGGATCATTCTCAGCACTGCAGTGACACTGACGTGGTGGTGGTGGTGTGTTAGTGTGTGTTGTGCTGGTACGAGTGGATCAGAGACAGCACTGCTGCTGGAGTTTTTAAACACCTCAGTGTCACTGCTGGACTGAGAATAGTCCACCAACCAAAAATATCCAGCCAACAGCGTCCTGTGACCACTGATGAAGGACTAGAGGATGACCAACACAAACTGTGCAGCAGCAGATGAGCTATCGTCTCTGACTTTACACTTACACGGTGGACTGACAAGGTAGGAGTGTCTAATAGAGTGGACAGTGAGTGGACACAGTGTTTAAAAACTCCAGCAGCACTGCTGTGTCTGATCCACTCGCACCAGTGCAACACCGCCATGTCAGTGTTACTGCAGTCCTGAGAATGATCCACCACCTAAATAGTATGTGCTCTGTGAGGGTCTATGGGGGTCCTGACCGCTGAAGAGCAGGGTGAAAGTGGGCTAACAAAGTATGCGGAGAAACAGATGGACTACAGTCTGTAACTGTAGAACTACAAAGTGTTCCTGTATGGTCAGTGGAGCTGATAAAATGGACGAGTGTAGAAACGAGGAGGTGGTTTTAATGAACTGCTCCGTGAGTGTATGATCTGACGACACTGTTTACTGTAGTGAGCTTGGTTTAGGAGACGTGTCTGGTGGGTTTGTCCAGAAACATAAAAGTAACATCAAGGCCACTCTACACTTCCTTGGCCAACAATCAAAAGTATGTGTGGCAGTGTCCGCCCTATGACCTAGGGAACTAGACAGAGTAGACTTCTATGTGGTGCAGATGTACACGCACCCCTCTTACCTGTTTGAAACCCCAGGTGGTACAAATAATCAAAGAAGAATTAAAAAATAGCTTCTTAATAAACACTGAAGTCGCTGCTAAAGCCTGAGTAGACCGATAAATCACTGTGACGAGCCAGTTATTAATCTGAGCCTCAGTAAACTGTTTTGCAGGATGAACGGTCTCCTCAGTTCACTCACGAGTGATGAGCTTAGCTTTGCTATTGTACTGGACTTGTACGTACTTTTCATGGCAAGTTTCAGACGACATTAACTGGAAATCACACAGCAGTGTGACTCACTGTACAGTGAGATTTCTGAGAGTCTGTTATTGGGACATGGCCTAATGTTGGCTTAGGTCATGAAAGGCCAGTGGGATTATGGGAGCAGCAGTGGACTGAAGCAGGGGATGAGAGTCAAAATAACACTGATAATTTTGTATTCATTTTTTGTATTCATTTGAATAATTAAATGCCAACTGGTAACAGCAAGAAACAGTGCGGAATAAAAATAACAATTCTTCCCCACATACTTTATCAATATGTATTCTAAATATGTCCTGAATACCTTAAGTTTTCATGCGTTGTAATGAAATAAGTAACAGAATACATTTCAGACAGTGCATTCAGTATTCAGCCCAGCTTACACGGAAAATACACAGTTGGTTCAGCTAAACTTGTTTGGTTTATGCCGATACATACGAGAGTTCGGAGAGGCCATGAACTGTTGCTGCAATTTTCAGGATTGTTACCTTGAGATAACGAGTTAATTATCTTGTGATCTCAAGTTAACTTTATTTTGAGATTACAAGATAACTGTCTTGGGATCACAAGATAATTAACTCGTTATCTCAAGCTAACTTGATCACAAATAACTCATCTCAAGATAACTATCTTGATCACAAGATAACTATCTTGTCATCTCAAGATAACTATTGATTACAATCAACTCATCTCAAAATAGCTTTATCTTGAGATCACAAGATAACTTGTGATCTCAAGATAACTATCTTGATCACAAGATAATTAACTCATTATCTAAAGATAATAACTATCTTGATCAAGATATTTAACTCATTATCTCAAGATACCGGTCTTGAGATCACAAGATAGTTAACTCATCTCAAGATAACAATCTTGATCAAGATATTTAACTCATTATCTCAAGATACCGGTCTTGAGATCACAAGATAAATTTCTCAAGATAACTGTCTTGATCACAAGATAATTAACTCAAAATAACTATCTTGATTACACGATTAACTCATCTCAAAATAACATCGAGATCACAAGATAACTTCTCAAAATAACACAATCACAAGATAATTAACTCATCTCAGAATAATAACTATCTTGATCACAAGATAACTCATTATCTTAAGATAACATCTTGAGATCACAAGATAATTAACTCATCTCAAGAAAACTATCTTGATCACAAGATAATGAACTCAAGATAACTTCTCAAGGTAACAAGATAAGTAACTTATTTCAAGATAATTATCTTGTTACCTCAAGATAAAATTGTTAACTCAAAATAACAATTCAGAAAATTATAACTACCTCATGGCCTCTCTGGACCTTAGATACGGGAGGGTGACAAAGGAAACATAGAGGTTTGTGTCGTATTAAGCTGATGGCCACCATGAGCTGCTAGAACAGCTTCAATGTGCATGAATTCTTTGAGCATCTTTATCTGTAATGGATGGCTGGAACATCATTCCTCCAGAAGATATTCCCTCAGTTGGTGTTTTGAAGATCTCCCATAGGTCTTCAACTAGACTGAGATCTGCTGACTGTGAAGACCACAGCATATGATAATCACACACAAATGAACCTGAATCATGCCAGTAAACTGCCCCTACAACACAGCAGAGCCATCAGACCTCCTCACTCTAGGGGTCAAGCATTCAGGCCTGCACTGGTGGGCTCTGCACATGCACTTGCCAACTTGAGCAAAATATGGGGAAGCATGACTCGTGACCAGACCACCATTTTCCACAAATTTGGAGAGCAGTGGTGATGGTTTAACACCACTGATCCCTCAGATGGTCATCCGTGTTTGTAATGAGGGGTTCATTCACTGCAGCTCCGCTATAAACAGACATTATCAGTCATCTGAGGAACAGCTGCTCTTACATATCACTCTAATGCACGAGCATCATGATCACTGCATTATTGATACTGATGTTACTGATGTCTTTCCCACAGATCTAAAAGCAGATGTAACTTTAGTCACTGTTCCTATGGAAACACTGGCCAGCTGAACAGTGTTTGTGACTGACACAAAGCCATCGTGAACCAAACTCAAGGTCAGCGTTTGTAGACATGGCACATAATATGGTAGCATATTATTGTATCGTGCAGTACACCAACCTTAAAGCATCTGCACTCATGTTCCTCTGCCACCTACAAGCAGCCTGCAGTAATAATAATATATATATATATATATATATATTTTTTTTTACTTATATAGCACTTTTCATGCTGGTGGCAGCTCAAAGTGCTTTACACAGCTTATAAAGTGTAACAGCAATACAAGAAATTATAAGTTGATTTAGAATCATAAGAAAATGATGGATCAAATTAAAAGATAAAAATACCACGAGGCATAAAGTTTTTATTACATGTTACGTTAAAGAGACGTTTTTAGATGCTTCTTAAAAGTGAGCACTGAGCTTGACTGTCTAATAAAAGGTCCACAGTTTAGAAGCAGATTACTGAACGAGTCTCTCCATGTTTTCTGTATTTTACAGAGGGTATTTGCAGAAGGTCAGTATCTGCAGATCTAAGATCTCGTGCTGGAACATAAACAGACAGACACTCTGTGATGTAAGCGGTGCTTTAAGGTCATTTAGAGCCTTAAAAACTAGTAGCAGAACTTTAAAATCTATCCTGGACGCTGCAGACAGCCAGTGCAGCTCTTTTAGAGCGGGAGTGATCTGATCTCCATGTTTTGTTTTTGTTAGGATGCTCATGTACCGTTTTCTTAAGAGGTCCAGTAAGAAGATCATTACAGTGATCAAATCGGCTTGGGACAAACGCATGAACAAGTTTCTCTGTGTCACTCTGAGATGGAAAAAGCTGAACTTTAGCAATATTTCTCAGATGATAACTTTAGTGACTGTGCTTACATGCGGGATAAAACAGAGCTCAGAGTCTAAGATCACACCCAGGTTTCGTACTTCAGGTTTGGTATATGAAGCTAAAGAACCAAGTTTCTCAGAAAGCAGTTTTTGTACCAATAATCAGTATTTCTGTTTTGTAATGTGGCTTTTGAACTAGTTACTCATTTTATGTTAGTGCCGGATCAAAACAGCCAGTAGAGGTCACTCCAGGATCATTAATTAAATGGTACTTAACAACTTATTTGCATAAAATATATGCAAAAAATGTAAGTACACTTGTGGCCTTTGAAATATTCCGTAGCCACTACCTGATGTGCACTTTCTTGAGGAGGATCTAAAAAGCTTCTAATGATTTACTCTCTGCAGCAGCATCTACAGTCACTTTATTAAATGGAGTTTATTACACCACTGACATTTATTCAGTTTTGGAAGTTATATTTTGACTTCCATCTTGACGTGTCATTAAAATAATTTGACTGCAATGACATGAAAGGTAGTAATTCTTCAAATGTGTAGAATTCCCATCTTAAAGGTGCTTAATGAACCCTACAGAACCAGATGACGTGATGTACTGGGACACAAAGTGTGTAATTAAAGACAGAGAACAAGTAGACGTCTTCCAATGTGCGATTATGGACAAAACAGTACAACTATGGCAGTCAGAACAGGCCCATGTTGTATCACCTACACCACATTACTAAATCTAGTCCTCACTTTTGCTCTGTACCAGCTCCCAGCATGCCTCTGTCTTCAACGGGCCTCATTCACCAGTCGAAATTTCTTCTTAAAACCTACTTCTGCAGTTTTTATGAAGATCCTGACCTTCATGAGTGTTTTCTTATTTGGGATTTGTTCTTAGGTAAGAACAGAATCTTCACACACTCAAGAGGACAGGGGTTCTGTGGTTTAAGAACACGTAGACCTTTCTCAAGAACAAATTTAAGAAAAAACGTAGGATGATGTTGGTGAATGAGGCCCAATGTTCTTAATGTTTCCTTCAGGCATGCTTGGAGCTGGGATATTCCACAAAAATGGCCTGTACAGAGTTACTGAGGTTTGGACTGAGAAACATTTACAGGTTTTTACAGCAGTTTCGCAGCTCTTGTCCAGCCCACCTGCACTGCACATGTGCGTTTCCTGCTCCATCACTCCTGATTCGGCTCCACGAGCTAACAGAGGTGCAAAAATGCATTTAAACACATTGATCTGAAGCTGTCAGTTCAATTGACGGTTTATCCTGGTCTGTTCTAATGTTGTCTTTTCTATTATTATTATTATAATTACTATTATGTTTCAGTTTTGATATTATTAATAATAAGTTGTATAACAAATTAGAATAATACTCAAAGTATGCGCTCTTATTTTGAAATTTGAAAAACTGGTTTGGGTTTATTAGCAATTAGCACTTAATTAAAATACATTTTTTATTTTTTAATGTAATTTCTGTATTATATCCCACTACTCTGTACAGTCTCTCCATTTTTTTCCCCATATTTTATTTTTCTGCATTATTTGATCAGAGCAGCTGCCCTGTGTGAATTTAATGATGTATGGACCAACAAAAATGCTCCAAAAATGCTTGTAAATAAAACCTCTTCGCATTAATTTACATTAAATGCAAATGTTTTTACCCTCTCATGCAAAGCGTTTCCAAAATTGTAGGTTTTTCTTTGGACAGCGGTAATATTGTTTTCTGAATCGCCACAAAATAATCGAATCGAAACGACACACTGAATCATCGAATCGAATCATGAGGTCAGAGGCTCTGAAACAGCTAATGGTGTGAATCAGGGGCCTGTGCAGGTGAACAGGACTGAGCTGGGGGTGGAAAGGCTGATGTAAGAACCCTTTACAGATCTAGAACTTTTCCATGTGTGTATTTACAAGAACAGTACAGAGTGAGTCCACTTGTTGGAACCTAATGGCTTATATTCCCGACACCAGAGCTTCTCCTCTTCACTTAAGCACAGCATTGGCCACGGTTGGCTTCCTGGTTGAATTTCCCCGTTCCACCTTAAATGGTGCAGCAGTTACACAGTCTGTTGCACCACTTAAGGTGGACCAGAAAAAGTGGAACACGAAGCTGAGTTCAGCCTCGTAGTTCCATGTGATCAATCCAGCTGGTCTCAGTCCACAAGAGGTCACTTTCTGTCCTTTATCTGCCGGCTGGCCTCCCTCATTCCCTCCTTCACCTCCTTAACGAACGTGTCCCTCAGCCTGGAGACGGTCTGCGCCGCTTCCGCCGCGCTCTGCGGCATTCTCCTCGCCTCCTCCCGCACGTGCCTGACCGTGTTGGAGTCCAGCACCCTGGCCGAGGCCTGCTTCCCCACCAGCTGACCTTTGGTGATGGCGAAGGCGGTGAGCTGCGCCGCCCTCCGGATGGCTCTGGACTCGGACAGCCGCTCCACCAGCTGCGCCTTGTTGATCAGGGCGACCAGGATCCTCTGCAGCACCATCCTGGAGCTGATCCACCAAACGGCAGCGCTGTTAGTTCAGTTCAACCGCAGCATCAGCCACGTGTGTCGGTTTAAGACGCTCTAAACAGCCGCGCTGTCTTACCTGGACGCGCTCAAGGTCCAGCGATCCGGGCTCGGTCAGCAGTACGCATGGTCGCCGAGGTTTGCTCCGGGGGTTATACAGACTGACTGCAAGGTGAAGCTTGTGCTGCCACCTACAGGGCGGAGGTGAATCGGTTCCTTTGATCAGGGTTCTTTTCAACAAATCGGTTCACACGGCCAGTTGAATCGAACTTCACCTACGTAACGTTTGCGTCCGAATTATGCTAAAATATTACATTTAAAATATACATTTTAAGATATAAATCAGTTTTTCATCAAATATATTTTATGATTATGTTAGTGAACATTAGATTGGCATTTTGTCTTTTATAGAACTATAAATTATTATTTTTTAATGAAATATTTCGTATAATTATTTTATTTGATGATATAATGAGACTAAATTGTGGAAATTATATTCGAATTTCATTACAAGTCTTCAGTTTATAACAGTTGGTACAAAAACATTGTTTAATTTGATACACAAGTCCAACTGAATCAAACCTCGTCTAATGTTTGCGTCCTAATTATGCTAAAATATTACATGTAAATTATATATTTTTAATAATATAATTAAAACTTTCTTTTTTATATGAAATGTATTAAATAATTGTTATATTATAAGGATAATTAGTGAAAATTATATTCAATTTTTAAGCTATATCAATATATTCAAGTTTTATCAAATGTGTTTTACAATTATTTTATGATATAATGAGGCTAAAATGTGAAAACTATATTCGAATTTTATTACAAGTCTTCAGTCCAACTGAATCGAACTTCATCTACGAAATGTTTGCCAAAAAAATCTTTAAATGATATAATTGTAATATACTTATTTATAAATCCATTTTTATCTAATGTTTTATGATCTTATGAGGCTAACCTGTAAAAGTTATATTCGATTTTATTTCACGTCTCCAGCCTAAAACACAAAAAGATCCTTTCATTTGGAATCGGTTCCTTTGAACAGGACCCTTCAAGGAATCAGTTGAACCGATTCACACCGCCAACTGAATTGAGCTTCACTATGTAACACTTGCGTCCGAATTATGCTAAAATATTCGGTTTAAATTTATATAACTTTAATAATATACTTACATAAATCCATTTTTTATCAAATGTATTATATAATTGTTGTTATGATATTATCAAATAGTGAAAATTATATTCGAATTATATCCTATAAATTATTTTTTTATCAAAAATATTTTAGAATTATTTAATGATATTGATATTATGGGGCTAAACTGCGAAAATTATATAATTTTATTACAACTTATAACACATGATACAAAAACATCACTGAATTTGGAATTGGTTTGATTGCTCTGTTTCAAAGAAATGATTCAAAAGAACCAATTCACAGGACCAAACTTCATCCGCGTAATGTTTGTGTCCATAAAATATTCAGCTGAAAGTGCATAGTTTTGATATAATTTTATATAGAAATAAACTCATCAAATCTACTTTGTAATCATTGAAAACATTAGGCTATAAATATATGACAGTATTTCCATAATTTAACCTTATAAAATCATAATAAAACATGTTATTAAAATAACATATAACACACTTCTCTAAATCAGTTGAACTGGATGTTTGATTCACTAAAACAGCTAGTTCAAAATGGTAGCTCCACCTTAAATAGTGCAGCTCTTACACTGATATATATATATATATATATATACACAATAATGTAATACTAGCAGAACCTTTTGGTGCTATATAGAATCCTTTTCAATCTGAAGAACGATTTCATGATGCAAAGAACCCTTTAATCATGCAAAGGGTTTTTTGAGTGTTCATGGTTCTATATAGAACCCTTTACTTTACTAAAGAACCCTTGAAGAACCATCTTTTTTAAGTGTGTTCATTGCTACCAGCAAATTTTGAACTCAGATGTGGGCTAATTTGTGTTTGGCAGCAAATTCACAAATCAGGACTTTCTCATATAGCTGAATAACTCACCCACACTTGCACTCAGAACTCAGGCCTGTCCAATAGCAGGAGAGTCTGAACAGCCCACTGACCAATCATCACTGTGAGCATGTAATCTAGCTTTAGTCTGAAATCCTGCTTTGTGAAGTAGTCCCAGGTTTACGCATGACTTCATCAAAACACCATACGTGCCCCACGACACACGTTCAGCCACTAGTAAATATTTACACAGGAATTAAGTGGAAGTTGTAGTAAAAATATGGGAGCCAAATAACGTTAGATAGAAAATGAGATAAAAGCAGAGCTTTACTAGGAAAGGCTTTACTGTTAGGCCTAACAGATGGTGCTGCAAGGGTTCTTTAGTAAAGAAAAGGTTCTTTATAGAAACTTTAACATTAAAAGAAACCTTTGCATGATTAAAGGGTTCTTTGCATAGTGAAAGCGTTCTTCAGATTGATGCCAAATGTGCTGTAGATGGTTCTATATAGCACCCTTTTTTGGTGCTACATAGCTCTATAAAGAACCGTCTGCAGCACATTCTCCATCTATCTGAAGAACCCTTTCACGATGCAAAGAACACTTTAATCATGCAAAGGTTTCTTTTAATGTTAAAGTTTCTATAAAGAACCTTTTCTTTACTAAAGAACCCTTGAAGCACCGTCTTCTTTAAGAGTGTAGGTCAACTTAAAGAAGCCTACAGCCGATTCAGATTCATTCAGCTCAGTTTTATAATGTAAACACACACACACACACACACACACACACTGTTGTGTTTAATATTGTATAACAGGTCAGAGGTCAACATAAACTCCAGCTCATGTTGAATATGTAGGCCTTCACTGTAACCGATACAGCTGGTCAGCTTTTTGTTGGCACTGCTTCCAGTGACCTTCCAAACTGACCTCTCTGATAGCAGCCCATGTGTGCAGAACATACTTTGAGAATCTATGGTGTTTCATTGACGACTGGCTGTTAATCTCAGAGGAAATAATCTTACTGCTGTTGGAAGGTTTGAATGTTAATAGATGAATGTTAGCCTTGATGAAGTGTCTCCCCATATGGACAAAATATACTCCAAATCTATGTAGCAAATATAATTTTGCATTGTTTGAAAATGTATTTGCTAAATATATTTTTAAAATACATTTATTGTAATTGTTTGTAGTTTTAATAAGGATTATAGATATAAACCAGCGGTGAGACAGCACTCGCACAAAATGTATTTCAAATAAGCAAGATGTCAAATCATAACTGCATTTTTACAGTGTTTAAATTCCTACAACTCTTGCTTTTGTCATGTTAAAAGTGGATTTGCTAATAATTAAAATGAAGATACTGGAATACAAATTCACTTCAAAAAGCAGTAAAGTGCATAAAACAGAATTCTGTCTCTTTTCATACATTTTCAAATGTATTTGATCGATATATTTACATACATTTATTTTTGTACGGACCTGTCCAGGGTGTATCCTGCCTTCCGCCCAATGACAGCCAGGATAGGCTCCAGCTCCCCCTGTGACCCAGATGGATAAGCGGTTTAGAGGATGTGTGTGTGTGTGTGTGTGTGTGTGTATTTCTGTACGGTACATTTCTATGTGAAATATTTTTCCATTCTTCTCCATTTTAAAATGTATTTGGTTAATATGGCAGTATATTCTGAAATATGTTTTAATGCGCCCTCTCCTGGCGACAGCAGAGTAGTGTCACTTTCCTTGCAGTAGAAAACGCCGTGAAGGCTTTCGCTGACCGTGGAAGTGCGAGAACGGTGTATTATATCGAACATTTATCGAACATGTCGCATCGCTCTATCGAGGAAAATTTATATCGTGATAATTATCGTTATTGTTTTATCGCCCAGCCCTAACTGCAATGTATTTGAAATGTATTTCAAATATAGTTGATCAGCTATGATGTGTTTGGTGTCGAAAGTTTGCTTCTTTAGTTTTGCCCTCTTAATCTCAGTGGAAACGGTCTTGCTGTTATTTCTGCTGGACAGGCTGAGTGTTAAAATGTTGGCCTTGATGGAGTTTATCTTTTCTGCTGAAGCTGTATACATTCTGGCTTGGTGGGCATTGAGGTTGGTGTAGCTGGAACAAGCTTGACCTGACCTCAGTTCTGCAGCTGTCCACGTTTGGGCAGCTGTTTAGGTTTTCTTTCTAAACAAAATGGTTTTAGCCTAAATCCTAGGAAGGATGAGCAGACTACCTTTTAACACCAGCATGAATGGACAAAATAAATTGCTACCTCATTGAGATGCAGTCATAACTTATTTACACTTAGAAAATCAACAAAACATGGAATTTGACCAGGGGTGACTGTACACACACATTCTAGTCTTCTTATTGAAAAAATAATTTATTATTAAAAGAGAAAAGTTTCTGTTCATATACACTCTCCTGTCATGATATTAGTGATTATGAGAAAATAATACTGAAAATAATTTCATTTATTGTCATTTCAATTCATTTATTTCATTTATTTATTATAGACATGTCACGACTGATTGTTCCAAAATCTTTGATATCAAGAACTTGACTTCCAGAACACAAAATAGCAAACCGAAAGTGGGTGTGGCTTAAAGCTAAATGTATATGAGGTGCTAGAAGTGGGTGTATTTACTGACATTGATGGATTGTAAAGTAATTAAGAAGCTCTGACATTAACATGCATGTGGAATGTTATTTAGCCTAGATTTTGTAATAAGCATGCTGATTGGCTTGTGGCATAAGACCAATTACTGGTATTTGATGACTTTGAATTTTTCAATATTCTGTATTTTTGAGGTAATTTGGTCAGTACCATAAAACTATTGAATTTTGATACCTAGGTTAACCAGCATCCAAAACACGATTTATGCTGGTTTTGCTGGGGGTTAGTTATGCTGGTCTGTGCTGTTTTTTCTAGCAGGGTGTACCCAGGTGTAAATAGTGTACAGCAGGTTGCAGATTTTAAATATTATGATTATTATGGTGGTAAAACTGTGATATATTTAAAATGGAAACCGTCCCAACATTCTCACAAATAAAGGTACCAAAAAGGGCTGTTTGGAGCAATAGAATAACTTTTTTAAGTTTAAAGAACCTCCACATAACCTAAAAGCCTTCTACCAAAAGGGTTCCCCCATTAA